AGGTCTCGCGAAATAGTTGGAGAACCCGCCACTCGACAAACTCGCCGCGACCTCGGGGTTCACCCTAGTCGTTCCACCCACAGAAGTGACGAAGGGGCCTTTAGGCAGACATAAGAGATTTAGAAGAATGAACTTGGGGAGGCGATAAAGTTGATGATTAGCAATACGCACAAGACGCCGGGAAGTTGGGTATGAACGCCTCGGCGCGTGAACCGTTGTTGGATTGGCAAGATCCTGGCCCAACGCCTGAGTCGCCGGAGCTGAAAAGGATCGACGTGCCCTGGGCGCCGAGTTGAGCAAACAAGTTGCAAACCTCTGTGGCGTAGTCGAGGGGGACGGTCTGCTCGTCGTCCTAGGAGAGGTATCAAAGTCATTGACACGTAGGCTTCATGAAGTACAAAAATGACCTACGCCATAGGAAGTGCTAATGGTCTGCGGAATAGTGGATTGGGCCAGGATGAAATCAAGCCAGTCGAGATAGGGCTCGTTCGTGTTCGTGGGCGTGTTCTGGTCGGCTATGAAGGGAGGAGAGCCACCGGTGCTATAGTAGATATTGGGCGTCGGGAAAGAGATTCCCTCAGCGTATTGGATATCCAGATTAGCCTAAGTGGTAAAGGCGACGTCAGTAAGTTGGCTATGCAGATGCACTATTCCGCACAAAAATACGTACCTCTACTCCAGGATCGTTCTGGTTGTTTTGACCGCCGTTGACTTCGACAGTCGTAAACGTCGCACTGGTGGCATCTGACCGGAATTTGGTCAGGAAGGTCTTCAAATCTGCGGTGTTGGCGAACTCCTCCAGATAACCAGCGATACCGAGGATGTTCTTGCTGGTGGCAGCGGGAGTGTAGGCGCTCGTGCTGTAGAGAGCCCTCAAGCAAGAAGGAGTGATGGTGGATCCGCAAGAGCTGGGCACGGTCGCGAGCGACGTGAGATTTCCAGTAGTCTGAAGAGCGGCAATCTCAGCTTGGAGGGCATTGTCTCCGTCGTCGAGGGTGGCGGCGTTCGGTTGAAGGAATGATGTGGCGCGCATGGCGCGGGTCGTTCCGAAATAGGTGGTCGGAGCGACGACCTTGATGTGATCATGAAGAGTTTCTGGAAGAGAATATTCCGTGCAACGCAAGACGGTCTCGTTCGTTCCGACATGACGGTAGAGTCCATACTTGGTACCGAGCATAGCATTAGCTTTCTCGACGGGTACAGCAGTGAGACTGAGCCAGTCGCCATTCAAGGCTGGGGAAACGGAACTCGCGGGAATTCCGTGATGGTCCAACCAGGCGCTGATTTCGTCGACGGTATTCTGATGAGGAGCTACTAACGCAGCGACCTCCGCCTTAGACAGGTGCGCGCCGTACCTTACAGTGGACGGGGATTAGTTCGCTTTTGTCATTGTTGTACAGGGACTTGCTCACCGAGGGTGCGATGGATCGCTTACTTCGTACAAAGCATCGATGATAGCAGTATCGTCCTCGGGTTTCATCGCCAGCCTCAGGTCGATGGTCGCATCCAAGGCGGGCTCATCATGAAGGACCCAATCAGTTGGAACACCAACCCAAGCGTGTTTGACCTTGAAATCATTCCAGCGAGAAGCATGGGGTGAAGCGAGAACGAAAGGCGCCACAGCCAAGGCAGACAATAAGAGACGCAACATCACGAGCTGCTTGACCTCAACCGAGCGCGTTGTCCAAGAGTTGACGGGTAGTCGACGGGTTGCTTTTATACTGTTATGCAGCCCACATGATCGGGCGTGCTTCTCTTCGCAGCCACGAAGCTGAACCGGCCAACAAAAGCCAAGGCGACTCTTATTCCAGCTCTACATCCGAACAACAGCGTGCTACAGATCCTTCTAAAGAATGCTCGCCCAAGTTCCGTGCGCGATGGTGACTGATAGGAGAAACCATAGGCTTCGCTGAGAGCGCCAGTATGGTAACAATTGTCACAGTGCGTGAGGCACTTCTCACCAGACTGAAATAAGCAGACGATAAGCAGGTTGAAGAGATCATCAGGGGAAGTTTTTCCCCAGCAATAACATGCGCTGCCTTATGAGCATGCTGCTCGCAGAGAATAAAATCGAGGGACGGGATCGATGAGCATGAACTTAGCCTGAACGGTGTGCACGGAAGTTGTCGTAGAAGGAAAGAACGAAAGTGAGTGTTTGCTCAGATGGGCGCTTGTCAAGGCGCTTGGGGGCTCCGGTAACTTACCACGTGGCGCTGTGCGGGCCGGTACGGCTCGTGTCAGTGAGCAAAGTCAATCACCGCGTCCAAGTTGAATGGCACCTCCTCGTCGCTGCCATGACCGACGCGATGCTTCATTGCTCAAGATGAATTATCAAAGGGCCAAGATATATATATTCGCGCCACTCGCTTTATCAGAAAAGGACTTACATGTGTACTGTCATAGCTCTTCAAAATCAATGTGAGCAAAATGCCACCGTTTCACCGACTCCGAGTCGTCACCATAAGTAGTTTTCAATACTGACGTTGACTTGGACACCCATTTGTTGACTTGCAGCGGTCTTTTGTGGATTTATTTAAACGATCCCCACAATTCTGATCGGTTGTAAGTTAGTTTTTTGCCCACCAACTTCTTCTCGACGCCCTACATGCCATCTTGTCTGCCCTTATCTCAACGCTACTCCCAGTTTACAGCCGCCTGTGAGTATCCTTGATCGGTCCGACGAGAACTGGCATCTTTGGCGGTTCTGCCCAGGCTACCAACGGTAGTACTTGAGTCCCTGGCAACATGTCGGCCAAGAGAGGCCCTCAATACAAATTAAGGAGTCTGTACGCCATGCTCTGTCTCCTGAACTCTTTCTGGAACAGAGCAGATACTAGAGCAGATGAATGTCGCTGACTGTTTCACGCCAGGTGGATTATTCGACGGCGATATTCTGTCTCACATAGCATCGGGTGCTCAGTACGCTACTAGATCACCTTTGTACCTATGAATGGTCATGATCAATGCTTAAACCCCTGTCTTGATGAGATGATAGCTCAGCGGTCCCTGAAGCCGCGTGCCCTCACGGTGACTGTCGCATGTCCGCACGGTCTAAGGACATGTATGTTCGCACCATGGAACGAGATGGCAGAACCCAACTGACACACCGTCCAGGGACCGTCGGATATGCCAGACCTAAGTATTTGGAGGAATCGGTGTGAAGGTACAGGCTGCTTCTGCCCCAAGCGCTTCCATCGACTATCGCCGGTCACGACTCAGAGAATATCATCAGAAAGAAGTCATCCACCGTCTAAAATATGCGATTAGATAGACGTCGAGCTTTACCCATACTTGGTACGCCACCACAACTCTTCTGTTTTTCATGTTGTCCACGGAAATAAGTGTGTTACACTCTTCATACAGGCCTTCCATGTTCATCAAAAAGGAATCTGCCGCCATCTCTGCGCCACATATCGTAAAAGCAGTGCATCTCAAGCACTCTGAACATATGTATCAATTGCACGCGTTTAATGTCCCTTTCTTCATTGTACACGCACCTGCTTTGTACGTATCTAAAGCTTATCTCGTTGATTTGAAGCTAAAGAATAGGAGGCCTTCCCTTCAGTCGGTAGAATGAACGCCACTCTAACTCAACGTGGCGCTGGAAATGGTAGGTCGCCCCCTCCCCCTCTCCTACTGGTCTAGTGAAAGGTGACGCAACGGTGCTTCTCTAACACAGGCCAACGAAAAAGGGTATTATCTGCGGTGACATTGTCGTTATGAACTACGGCGTTGACTAAGAACGTGTGAGTGTTTTGTCAAAGCGTTCCATGCATCTTGATGACCGCGTAACGTTTCATGCAGCAGGAGTAATCGATCAGTACGACGAGTAACTCCCAAAAACGCAGGCTTTGACTACTTGGAGCCTATATCACCGAATACTCATGATTAGTGACGACACACCACATCGTTGGCCGGCGTATCATGGAGGCTGACGCATAGCGTTGCGCGACCTCCATTCGGGCTAGTAAGAAGGTGGGTCGCCCTCCTACGTTACTCTCTTATGGATTCATCTCCTGCTGAAACGTATCCACTAGCTGTAGGTCCTGTGGACATGGCTGAAAACTGACCGCAATTCGGTGCATTGTTAGTGGTAACCGTGACGCTGGCTTCATGAGTTCAGGTCGACGGCTCAGAGCACTCTCGAAACACCCTTCAAGGAGATTTTTCACCTTGCTACTGAGTTGTGTGTGGCAGTGACCTCTTCGAAGTGTTTTTTCTGCCTCTGCATGTGTATTATCTAACATAGCTCACAGTATGACGCTGAGACCTATAATATTCTCTGCTCAAACTCGGAGACGCCGCTGCGCAGGACCGGGACTGTGACCTCACTGACACCCTTCCCGTAGTTGCGTAGACGTGATATTTTCTGGAGCCAGAGGAAATAGGTGGTCAAAAATCTCACGAGCTCTAGATGTATGTCATCGATCTCTCGACGGGTTCTCCTCGGGTTAGATGGTCCATACCGTCATTATTATGTGACAATTTGGTACACGGTGTGGACCACGTCGGCATGGTTTTCAGTAAGTATCTCCTTCTGTATGACACCAAGTTGGACAATGTCCGTCGACCTCGGATGTACAGTAAGCCCCCTTTTTAGGCGATCTTGCTTCAATACAACGAGTACTGATGATTCGCAGTGTGTCTTTGCGCCCATAGGACTGCCTTTCGGTCACGCGACTGCAAAAGGAGATTGCGGGTAGAGCTGATCGGATATAGCGTCACCATCAACTAGAGATGCTGTTCCTGGACATCTCATGGACCGCGCTGCGTTTGAGGGCCGATGGGCAGGATTATCTATAACTTTTACTCCGTAGCTGCTTTGGTCCATTGTCCAGGGGCCATGTGCGTCGTGTCATTGCCTTCACGGAGCTTAAATGTGCTCCGTAGAGGGGAGAGCTCCAAGGATTAAGGACGTTGTTCTCTAAACATAAATCAGACTTACGTCTTGCTAGTCGTGTCGCCGGTCACCTCTATTGAAGGAGAACGCAACTCCATGGTCTTATTGCCGTTAATTTCTCCATGTATACTCAGAAATGCCGCGGACACCAGTGGAACCTCACACAGGCCGGGTGCAGAATCATAACACACAGGTGCGTTTCTTTTTTTCACCAAGTTCTGTGCTTTGCGTTGTATGAACTCTTTGTTCCACCTTCAGTGACGCACGCTTACGGAATGACCACCCTTGGCCGTTCACTGTCGCAGACAGTGAAGCCAGTGCTCCTCCGCACGCGACCTTCGATTTAGCCCATGACTCGTGGTTCCGGCAATGAGACAAGCTCAACTCCCAGGTGTTGCTGAGCCTAATTCTGCTCATCCCGGACCATGTGTCCCAAAGCCCAGGGTCCGGAACAGAGGACGTCGAAGATCTTCCATCCCCAAGGACCACCGTGATGCGCATGGTACAGTGGGCCGATGGAGCAGGTCCATGAGCTGGATGACCGAAGGTTGTTTCAAGTTAAGTTACTGACAGGTTTACTGCAGTTGCGTCGCATGTTCGCAACGGCCGTCGAGCTGCGAAGTTCTGGACCAGACGCACTGTGGATTTGAGGGACATCGTACGCATGTTGTGCACGATGATCGGGCTCATACTCCCGCAGATTACTGCCAAGGACTTGCTCCATGCATACTGACATGACAGAATATGGACCTGAAGCACAAGTGCGACGTACGAACTTCCCATCCATGTCTCATTGTAGTTGACCCCGCCAATATTAATGTGGCACACCGGCCATAGTCACCCCGTGTAGGTACAAGATCCAACTAACTGAAGATGCACACATCCAAACCCAATCCCCGTCCAGCACCGTCTCCGTTCTTGATTCTGCCACTGGGATGATGGATCTCCCTCCGTAACAATTTTGTCCTGCGTAACGATTTTGTCGATCTGAAACATGTATCATAGCGTATCATTGATCATGACACAAAGTGTCTGCGAACATTGTTGACGCATTTGGATGCCCGGCCATAGCTCATAGGATCCGTCCAAATATGGTTCATAGCAGCTAATGATAATCGACCGGCAGGGTTCAGCAAGGCAGACGAATAACGGAGAGGTAACGGAGATTATAAGAACATCGGATAGACACGTAAATGGACGACGGCGACGGGCAATAAGTTGAACTATAGAATATGTAAGACATACACCGGCGCGTTGGCGTGCTTATAACTTTACAAGAAACAGACGATCCAGCACTGACAAGCGCCCGAGCGCTCAAAGAAGCTCACCAAGCAAGCTATATAGATCCCCGAGCTTGAATACTCTTCGGCGAACATACTGCACAACCCGATGCGGGATCAAGGTCACACCATGGAGACATGTCAGCCAACGGTCGAAGCGTTCACCAAGCAAGAAGATCGAAGCCCGAGCTTATCCTTGACTGTTCTACGCGAATCTGGCTAATTCTGGATAGACTCTACCTCTGCCCGAGGACTCGTAAGACTCAACCTACCGAACCGACCACATAGCCTCGAGAAGCAGCGCATTGGAAGATCCGTGACAGCATTGCGTGCCATACGCGGTTGTAAGAGCAAACCACAACAAACTCGCATCTTGATCTCCAAAATTCAACATTGATTCGCAACGTTCTATGCTTTACAAACAACAAGCGTGGATCCTAGAATATATTTAAGTTGTTACATCAAAATTCCAAATATTTTTTGACGCAGGGTGTGCGCCGATGGAAGCAACTTCGACGTGCGCAGGCAAAACTTAAACACGAGCGCCGTAGACGTCTTTGGGCTCGACACCAGTCAGGCCCTTGCGAGCATTGGCTTGGGCCCACCTAGACATCGATGCAAACGAGACATGAGTAAAGTTCGAAAAGAACGAGCCAGAGGATGCAAGGTGACAATGAGCAGGGAGAGAGAACGCACTTTTTGATCCTGATGGACTCAATGGCGATGAAGCCAGTAGTGTCGGTGGGCTCGAAGCCACCCATCTCATCCATCGAAGATTGCTTCTCATCGTAGAGACCCTACAAAGCACGACACGGAAGCGAATGGAAGTCAGCACCACATAACGAGCAACCCCAGAGGAAGAAGTAATGGAGGGGAACGCGTACCTCATCCGACGACCTCCCCTCAATGACCACATTACCCTTGACCAAAGCCAGCCTAACAACCCCATTCACAGTCCTCTGACTGGCTGGAATCGCACTAACCACGAACTCCCTCTCCGGCGTGAAGAAATGCCCATTATACAAGATCCTGCTCAACTCGACTGTGACGAACTGATCCCTCAGCGCCCTAACATTCCTGTCGAGCGTCAATCCCTCGAGATCGACATGCGCGGCACGAAGGATGGTAGCACCCGGCGATTCGTAGCATCCACGGGACTTAACACCGATGAACCTGTTCTCGACGATATCGATACGTCCGATCCCGTGTTTCCTTCCCAGCGCATTGAGCGCGAGGAAGATCTCGACAGAGTCAGTATACTCCTTTCCGCCCTCGACGGAGAGCTTCGTGGGCAAGCCGGCCTTGAAGGCGATGGAGATGCGTTCGGGAGTGGAGGGCGCGTCGGCGATGGAGGTGGTCAACTTCCACATATCGGCGGGAGGGGTGGTGTCGGGGTCTTCGAGGATGCCGGCTTCGTAGGAGATATGGAAGAGGTTTTCGTCCGTTGACCAGGGCTTGGCGGCGGTTTGCTGGACGGGGATGGAGTGTTGGGCAGCGTAGGTGAGGAGGGCTTGACGGCCGGGGAAGCGGTTGTAGAATTCTGTATTGCAAGAGCAGATGTATGTCAGTGTCCAGGTCTTAAGGGAGAACGTGCGACCTGATTTAGAAGAAGAAAGAGTATGAACGTACCGGGAAGACGCCATGGGGCAACGACTTTGATGTCGGGCTTGAGGCCGTAGAAGGCGAGCTCGAACCGGACTTGGTCGTTACCCTTACCAGTGCAACCGTGCGAGACGAAGCTGGATGGATGATGAAAATGGGTCAGTTTACTCTGCGCCGAGTAATGGTTTAAAGAATCGGGGCCGTGTAGGGTGTGAGTATATTCGTGAGGGTTTTGGGAAGGGTGGGTGGCGTCGGGAGTTGCGCCACACGAAAGTAACATGCGATATACGCGCCCCACCCTTGCGAAAAGCTTTTTTCTCGACCGACAGGAAGAAGAGGGATATGCAGAACGAAACAGGAGAAGAAATAGAGAAGAGAGGACAAGATTTGAAAAGGTGACTCACTCGCAACCTTCACGGTCGGCCACGGCAATCATACCACGGGCAATAACGGGACGAGCAAGAGAAGTTCCAAGAAGGTAAACGTTCTGCAAAATTGATCCGAAGAGTCAGTAACGGTAAATCGAAGTTCGAAAACGAGAGACGTGAGAATGCAGGAGAAGGGCCCTTTGACGAAGTGTTATGGCATTAAGGCTGAATTGTAGTGAAAACCTGAAAGCCGGTAATTCATAGCGAAGCCAACCCAATGCTATCCTGGTGGTGAAGACAACATAAAGCCCGAGCTCTGCCAGGGTTTTTCTGCTTGCGCGTGTGACGAGATTTTACGCCACAACAAAAACGAAAGCAAGGCAGAGCGTGATCGACGCTTCCATCTGATGGTATAGACGAAAGGGAGGTCATGCGAAATATAGAGACCAGTCCACATGAACAACTGCCTGGGGAAGCCGATGTTTGAGGACGTAAGTCGTAAGTGGCGACATGGCATGACAGCCTGACGCCAGTCGGGTGACATCTTAGACTTGCGATGAGGACGGATGGAAGGTCATGTCTCACGAGGAGTAACAGGTTCGCCTCGCATCAGAGAGTTCGATGCCGTAGACAAGGGACCTCCTATCAAAGACATTGGTGAAGAACCCCTGTCATGCACTCTGCAGTGAGAGTATTACGGCCAAAGCAATCTGCCGTATTGTGTGACATGGACAATACATAGCAGAACCGGGAGCAAGAGAAAAAGAAGTAGGATGAAGAGGCACATACCTCGTAAATAGCGTTGGCCTGAATAGCGGGGTAGATGAGCTCGGTGATGAACTCACGCCTGAGATCCTATAATATTCATCAGTATTTAGTCCTAAATCGAATACTGCATTTTGAGCATACCTCGAGGAAGAATTTCTTCGCGCCAACGAGGAGAGCTTTTTTCTCAGCAGCCACAAAGTCCTATAGGCCATGCCGATGAATGAATGCTCGGAAGGGTAGCCTTGTAGGAATACGAAACGAACCTCCTCCTGGCCGACATCAGCCATGAAGGCATAGACCTCATATCCTTCCTCAATCAACCAGGCAAGGATACAAGAAGTATCTATAATCCCGCACACACGCATTCAGTTTGTGCATTAGCATCCCGCTCTCAACAAGAAAACTAAAGCAGCAAGTCGACATCCACAGCCAAATCGCAAGACTCACCAAGACCTCCAGAGTAAGCAAGCAAGACGCGGCCCTTAGACTCAGGCATGTTGAGCAGTTAGATGAAGAGGTGAAGGAAAGGATAGGAGGGGATGATGGACGCAGGAAGCAAGCAGGCAAGGCAGCGGCGAACGAGTCAAAATTCAGTTTCACATAGAGGATTACCCAAAACGGACGGTGAGCCGCATAATTGCACCGTGCGAATGATTGCTGGGTTCGGCCGGAGCTGGTCCGAACAAGTTGCGCGGCTCTGTTTGTGTTCTCGCCTGCTCTCGACGACGACCTCCACGACGCAAATAATTGGTGCGTTTTTTGATGGGTGTTCTCGATGTGCGAGATATACTGTCACAACTCATGGAAAGCGTGTTCAAGACAATAAACTGATCAATAATACTCACAGACGCAGGCTCCCATACATAATACCCGTCCTTTGTTGTCATGGACCGCCAGCCTCGCCGAAACCGCGACAAAGGCAAGGAACGAGACATAAATTCTGCGGCAATACTCGATCGTTCTACTGGCACCAGTGCCAAACATCGTAAATCCCGCTCACCCATCGCCAACCGGCGGGACGCAATGGCCCTCTCTTTCGGCTCAATAGACGACGACACGCTCCCATCTCATCCATCTCAGTCCCAAACCCAACCCACACCATCGAACAGCCATATCATCCACAAAAAGAAGAAACACCATCCCCCATCTTCATATTCGAACGCGAACGCTATCGCAGGTCCTAGCTCAGGTCCACGTGGGTTCGGCATGCAGCCAAGTACAGGTTTCCTCGGCTTCGGCGCTGATGATTCAACCATGGCGACGCCTACGCCCGCTGCCCCACCTCGTCTGAGGCATAAGAAACCCTTGCCAGACTTCAGTCTCAATCCTTCGAACGGCGCTGGTCCCAGTACGCCCATTGGCTCGAGGGGCGTTCACTTGAGGAAGAAGGATAAGTCGTCACGATCCTTCGCGCAGGCGAAGGTTTCTCAGAATGGCGTGAATGCGAACGGAGGTGGCAACGACGGGATGGCAGATCCTGACTGGTTCACGATGAATGAGGAGGAGGAGAACGGTGCGGGCACGGCAACGGGCACGGAGTCGGTCTATGATGGCATGACTTCATCGAATGGTGTCGTCGGTGTCAATTCAGAGTTGAAGAAGCTGAAGAAGGAGATGGAGAGCCTGAGGAGGGTGCGTACTCTCATGTCCATTTTCTTGTCGCAGCGGTGCTGATCGTATCTTTGAATGGTTTAGCAAGCTGCGAGTAACGCAAGGGCTGCGAATGAACAATCAAAGGTGCGCTTTCCTTCTCAAGTCTTCACTCCCACATTTTCCACTCTGTTTTCGTTGTGCACCCACCTCTGCGTCCTGTGTATCAATTTCGGGTCTTGTGCCATCTGTCCGATGTGTTTACACGTTGCCCAGTGTTGCCCGCCCTATGTCATACGTTCAAAAGACGCTCTCGTTAACCCATACAATATGACCGCTCTGTCGCGTCGTCTCGTAAATCAATCCTTGCATTGCCAGGAAGCCAAGATGTCTTGATCATACCGGTGGCGACATCACGAAGTTTGAGGCAGCAGCGGTGGCGCACTACAGATCAACTACTTGGTGTCTGGCTAATTCGGCCCAGGATCTCCAGCTAATCAAAAACATTCTTGAGCCACTCGAGAAAGCCACGGTTTCGACCTGCACGACTGAGCTTCATTCAGCTGGCTCACAGAGCATTTTGAACCATCTCTATGAAACAAGAGATTACTATGGCGAGATTCACTGCTTTTCTGCCCTCGAAAACTTTTATAACGTATCGTGACGCTGAGTTACATGTAACTGACTTATCGTCCATCTCGCAGATCATACAAGAACTCAGAAGAGAGCTGAGCGTAGCCGCAAAGGTCAGTTATAAATACGAACCATACTCGCCTATCTAGCTAAATCCTCGTAATTTTGCAGACGAATAAAGACCAAACTGCGCTCATTGAAAAGCTCAAGAAAGAGTCACGCCAAGCCGACGAGGTGAGCTTTCTTTCTTCGTCTCTTCGTCACCAACTTCTTCGGTTTGGTTGGGAAATGAACTGATGAACTGGTTTCCCATGCTTAGACTATATCGAACGTCGAAGGAGCTCTCCAATGTCAAATCTGCATCGACACGCTCTCCAAGCCATACTCGTACGTGCTGTTTCCTCCTTCCCACCCACTCTTTCGTCCTTTCTCTTAACCATCTCTCAATCCTCACATCTCATACTCTTGTGCTAACACCGAATTTTATCTCGCTCTCCGTTCCCCTAGCCTTTCCCCCTGCGGTCATATCCTCTGCCTGCACTGTCTCCAAGACTGGTTCCGCGCCGCCCCAATCGACCCCTCCGACCAAATGGAAATAGACTCCGAAACCGACGAACCCCTCCCCCTCACCCAACGCCGTAAGACCTGTCCGTGTTGCAGAGCCAGGGTCAAAGAGAGGCCCGTGAGGAGTTTTGTGGTCAGAGGACTGGTGGAGGTCATCAAGAAGGCGAAGACAGCGAAAGAGGCACAGGCGGCGGCGAGGGCTGCGGCAAGTGCTGGTGCGGGTGCGGGTGCGGTTGCGAATGTGGTGAGAGGTAGCAGTCCGCCGCCCGAGATGGAGGGTGAGGATCCGTGGGAGGGCATATTTGAGGAGCCGTACTCTAGTGAAGAAGAGAGTGGAGATGATGATGATGAGGATGATGAAGACGACGACGAAGATGGGTCTGATATCGAAGAGGATGAGAATGATATGGAAATGGTGACTTCTGAGGATGATGAACGCGCGATGGGGACGGGAATGGCAGAAGACGACGATGAGGAGGACGATGATGACGATGACGGGGCGGAAATGACGGATGGTGCGAATATGGACGAAAGCGGGACTGGGAGGAGGGTGACGGTGTTCGAATGGTTGGCCTCGCGTGCTGGCAGAGGTAGAGGTAACCTCAACGGAAATGCGAACGAAAATGCCAATGCCAGTGCAGATCAGGGCGAAAGTGACGAGGAGGATGGGGCTTCAGTTTATGTCTCTGGTTCAGAGGGCGCTGCCGCCGTCGGTTCCGACGAGCACGAGCACACCGGGTCCGAAATGGACGATGGAGAAGGACAAAATCAAGACGACGACGATTCCGACGACGATTCGTCTATATATTCGAATTCTTCAGATGAAGATTACCCCGGTCCTTGGATCTCACCAAGTTGGGAACCCCCGCTCCACCACCCTTCGTCCACTCTCATAACCTCCCAGCTCCCACATTCTCATGCCCACCCACACTCGCCCCACCTCACCCAACAAATTCAACTCTTATCCCGTGGCGTAACGAACGAGATGTTGCGTCTATATCCCGGCCGATGGAGATACACTCATGAAGAAGGTATCGTGATGCGAGAATTCGGAGTCGAAATCTGGCTTGGTTGGAACCTGAGGTTACGAGAGAATGAAAGTGAAGGTGGAGATGGAGAGGGAAGCGGTGCGGAGAGGTTTTTCAGGCGGATCTGGGAGGAGATGTATGAGGGGAGACCCGAGAGGTGGAGGAGGGAACCGATACCGAATCCGCCGACGCCGCCGCTTCATACAGCTTCGCTTGGGAGACGTGGTGGGAGGAGAGGAGGAGCGTTCGGTGGACGGTTATCGGAGGGAGGAGGAATGGGGCCGGTGACGGAGAGGGTTGTGAGGCTGATTAGGGCGGATAGAGAGGTCGAGTATGAGTCGAGTGATTCGGAGGCGGATTATGGGCAAGATCAGGAGGACATGGATCAGTAAAGAAGATGTCTTGAATAAGGCAGGTATATATCATATTCCTTCTATGCCTAGACGGAGATATCTGTATATTGTGTACTTCGTCTTGTGTATTCCTTGTATGTATTGGGTTCGAGCCACTCAAGAATACAAGACCGAGGGTGTGAATGGTACGAGGCGGTCCACAAGGAGCATGCAGGATCACTAACTTACTCTCGAGGGATGTTGTCTTGACAGTCTGAGACGAGGCACGATGCGAATGCGTGTATATTATACCAGTAATGAGTTGTGTTGTGTGCGTATAGAATGCGAAGATTACCACAAACAGATGTAGGGAAATAGATATCAGAAAGTAAGGACGAAGATGACCAAAACATATGCGGGAACTGAGGAGTGAATTGGGCAGACACGTACGTACGATTGACAAGAATAGTTCGACTATGCAAGAAAGAGCAAGAATAGGATAAAATGGAGGTCAAAACATGTTCCGAATCCTCGAGCTTAACAGCTGTACCAGACGCAACGAAGCGAACAAAAGTAATTGACACTACTGTTTTAAGTGGTGTTCCAAACTGGGTCCAAGACATCGTCATACTCCTCGCCACCGAACTCTTCCATCGGATGCTCCTCGATCACAACCTCCACCTCTTTCGCCACATTCACCTCTATCGTCCCCACATCTGGACTCATCCCCATTGGCGGGGCCTCCCTCTCTTCCTCGATCGCAATCCCGCCTGCGCCTTCACCTTCTACCGCGTCTTCCGCTGCTCTGTCTGGATCTACAACCGCATTCGGGACCTCTGTACTCGGACTAGCAGCAGGACTTGTACTTGAACCAGCGCCCGCGGTGACAGTCGACGTAATCGTATGAGCCCTCATCCTCCCCATCCTCCTCTGCGGATCCTTCCCATCTCCAGCCCCATTACCTGGCTGAATAACGACCGCATCCGCGATCCCGACCCCTCTCTCTGGCCTTATCAAACCGTTCGCAGCCGCAGCCGCAGCCGCCCTCTGCGCCCTGATTTTGGCTTGCCTCGTTAAGATATACAGCTCCCGCTCCTTCGCGCTGGACACCTTCTTCTTTGCTTCGTAGTTCTTCAATTGTAACTCCACGAGGAATTCTTTGTCCCGGATCGATTGTGACCAGGTCTTGAGGAAACCGCCAAGGAACCAGATCATTTGGGAGACACCGACAGCTGTGAAAATGCTTGGATACACGTGAAGGACTGTATATGCCATAGATCGGAGACAAAGATGAGTTCGGTATTGTCAAAAGACGGCGAAGAGAAAGAAAACGCACGTATGAACCTATCGTCCAAGGTGAACTTGAAGGCAAGTTGAACGAGGTAAAGCGTTACGGGAGGAATGACGAGCATGCCAATCAGGCCCGACAAAACGGGAACGATGACATCCCTCGTAGCACGCAGGGGATGAGGGTCCATCCATCCATGCTGTCGGATCTATGCAACGCAACGTCGACGCATTGTTAGTATAATTTTCAGGTGGACACAAGGACGGTGAGCCTAAACTAGGGGATTTGATACTCACCTCCCTCAACCCCGTCGTTAACCTATTCGCCGGCTGCCTTCTCTGCGCCCTTAATCCGATCTTGACATACAATATCCCCAACGCCCACATCTGCACCACCTTCACCCTCGGCACTAGCTCTGGTTCCAAGATGAACCTGATCGGGAGCACGACATACACCTCAACGACCATCGCCACCAACACCGGAACCACGACGCCGAGGACCGCCACCATGTAGCTCGTCTTCGCCGCCCATACGAGACTCCGTTTGACGACATAAAGCGGCCAAGCTGCACGGTTGACCGTGACGGGACTGCCAGACGTAGAGGTAGTCCACCTTTGACGTCTTCGTTCCATACGGTCGATGATCTGACCGACATAAAGACTCGCCCAAAGTCCATAAAATCCAAGGATGAAAGAGTATCCATCGTGCACCTCCTTATCGACCAATGCACGGAATATTTGGCGGCCGAGGCTGATAGGCATGGCAACGGTGCCGGCGATGAAGAACGAGCCGACGGTCCAGAGGGCGAGTATGAAGCCTATGACGCGATAGGGAAAGTGTGGCGGGATGTAGACTACGGTGTAGTCGTCCTTGGGGACTCTCTTCTGCTTGATGGCCTCTGCATTTTGAGCGTCGATTTGTCGTTGAGCTTCTTCGTCGATGGCATCGCCGTTCATATTAACCTGCGCGGTAACCCTCATATCGCGGGCAATGGCGACATTATCTGTGGCAGGGACGCGGCGGTAGGTTCCGTCGAGGGGTTGTTCGTCATCTGCGAGCTTGATGCCAGCATCGCGCCAAGAGAAGGAGCGCCACTGCTTGGGCGTGAACTCCTCCTCTGGATGACGTTCGCCGAACATGTAAGAGCTCAGACGGAGCTCAGCACAGAGGAATTTCCAGATGTTGATAGAATGCCGACGGATGAACTTCTTCGGGCGGAAGTACTTCATGGTGTAAGGCAGAATCGTCTGTAGAAGGATGAGGTCGATCGGGACCTCGGATAATGGCTCCCTATTGTTTGTAAAGCATGAGCCTTCGCCGCGATAGACATGATTGAGATAACATACCGAGGTCTCCAACGCAGCGGCAGTATACCAGCAGCCCAGAACAGAGCTCCCACTGAACCGACGCCACCCGCAACTACCAACCCATACATCAACGCACTCGCCGACAGTTTCTTCAACTGCACCCACGCAGGACGTTCGAGTATGTCGCGAATAGGATGGAAGTTCTGGTCCGAGGGGTCCTTGATGAACCACATCGCGCCCGGACGCATGATGGTGCGGCATCCAGCCAGGAGAATCGCGAATTGATACCTAACACGATATTTTCTGTCAGAACAACATCGTAAAGATAATAAGTGACAAAGGAACCCACATGAACATTGTCCCTAAAACCCAATGATAGAACGTCGCCGTCAACGGCGCATACTGGAAAAACACCAGACGCGACTGGAGCGTAGCCTCTGGGAAGAGCCAAATCGAGCACAAGTCGAGGTTGATACCACATCCCAGCGGGAAGATGACCAGCTCGATAATAATGAACACGGCGACCTGCAAACAACAACCAAAAGGTAAGCCACGGGATAAAAACTGCGTCTGAACTTGAAAGAAGCGGATGGTCGAAACGAACCTTCACAACGAGTAATTGCTGCCTGACCGCACTCCTAACCGCCCTTCCAGCGTTCCTCACACTCCCCACCGTCAACACATTCAAATAGATCGCCAACGCCAACGCGACGACTGTATACCCAAGACAAACAGCGAAGATCTTCTCCGCATTTCCGTCTCCGAGCGCGTACTTCGTCCAGGTCTCTTTGAACTCCTCGAAATACTCGACCGACGCCTCTGTTAATTCCTCGGATTTAATCCTGACTTTTTGACCAAGGAGGGCGAGATAGGGTTCAGCGAAGCGGACGGCAGGATGGTCGGATTCAAGGATATGTTCGATGATCGAGGAGGTGTGAATTTTGGCGGATGTGTCGATGTCGACCCGGGCTGTCGAGTTGGAGAATGCTTGCCAGATAGTAAGAGGCTGGTCCCAAGGTTGATTTACGACCCTCTCGTGCTAGTAGCGACCCAAAAACATCAGTTTACGTGCAATGAGGAAGAGAAATGGAACGTACGACAGCTCCAACGTATTCCGTGAGTTTGTCTACAGGCTCGGGCCCCGCCGCAGCGTTCACTAATGTAATAATGGACCAGATAACGGAATAAAGCACATAACGAACCGCGCGGAAGATGATCGGGAAGAAGAGCTTGTTGAGGATGTAGAGGACAGAATCCGTGATAGGATCCGTGATGATGCGCATGATGCGGATGGGCCAATGGAGAATATGGAGTGCGCGCTTTGGGTCGAGCTAGAGCGTCCATATAGAGGGTCAATCGCTATCCGGTTCGATGAAGAGACAAAGTGAATGAACTCACAACAAGCAGCGCAGCAGATTTTCCAAGAGTGTATGGGACCCAGACTCCAAGACCGATGGCAGTATCCAGGACGAAGACCATAAGTGCAGCCTGCCGATAAGGAAAGTGCAAGTGAGATGACAAGCTCCGTCGTAAACATACTCGTAAAAACCAAACTCACGTTTTGAGCCACAGCATGCAAAGGACCCCTCATCCCAATAGCTAAGATTAATCCGCGACAAATCAGCATCCATCCTACCCCCTTTCTCTCCCAACCCATCCACCCAAGATTCCGCCAAACCTGACGAGAGGGAAAAAAAACTCACCCTCAAACGCTCCCTCCATATCATCCTCCCCCGCAAACTCATCATCCATAAACTCCGGCTGCACACCCTGCTCTCCCTCCCCCACTGCCTCCGGTATCTCCGCTGGCAGTATCGGCGCGAACCCCGCATTCCCTAACCTCGCATCCCCACCCGGAGGAATCCCAGCACCAAGCTGATGCAACCTACCCCCAGGCACGAAAGCTGCCCTCTCCCTGGCGGGAGCGAACGGCCTCCTCTCCCCAACCCCGATGATTTCTCCTCTATCCCTAATGGGCACGAGCTGCCCTCCTTGAGGCCGGGCCCAAAAGACGGGGGCATCCGCAATAGGCTCTAAGCCCCTCACAGCCCCATCTTCTTCGTCCCCTTCATCGTCCTCTTCTGAATCGGATGGTACGAAGATTAGAGGAGGTGGGCCTTCGTCTCCTCCTCTGTGGTTTCGTGCTGTCCCTGCGGTACGCACTGGACCACCATCCTCAACCATGACGTCCTCTAGCCTGACACCAGGGACAAAACCCGAATTTCGCGTAAACCCTTCATCTGACCAAACCCACGTACTCTCCCCATTCCCCCGCTTCTCACCCTCCCCCTGCGCCTCCACCTCTCTGAAATACCTCGCGTGTTCTCTCCGCATCTCTTCTCCTTCTTCATCTCCCTCCTCCGCCCTATCTTTCCCCTTCCCCTTGTCTTTCTCCTCCCCTATGTCTTTTGCTTTCCCTTTGCCCTTATCCACACCCTGCCCCTCAGCATCCTCAACACCGTCAAAATACCCCGGTCCAGATCTAGACGCCGACGACAACGCAGATCCCTCCTCCACATCATCATCCTTGAACTCTTCCGGCGGTCGATATGTAGCGAGCGATGGTGATCCCAATGGCGTATTATCGTTACCGGCAGCCCCAATCGCTGGAACTCGCATCACACCGGGTCCGATGGGTGGGGTCGTTGGAGTCGGGAGCGTCGCGTATGGCATGGGAGGACGGCGAGGGACGGGGATAGTCATTCCTGTGGGTCTTGGAGGAAGTGGGAGAGGTTGGGATTCCGTTGGTTTGGGAGTGGGGTTGAGAGCGCTTGCGCCATTGGGTACGGGTTGGGGTGCCTGAGATTGTTGTGGTGATGACGAACTAGGCGTGGGCGAAGAAGATGAAGGCGTAGAGAAGAATGAAGACGATGTGAGTTCGGGTGATGAGCTTGATCTTGACAGAGAGAAGGCGGAGGGGAGGACAGGAGGTGATGTGACCAGTGGAGATGAAGACGACGGTGTTTGGTTCTGAAGTTGTTGCGGTAATGCTAAAGTTGACGATGAAGAGGAGGGGGTGGAGGCAATGAGGGGGTAAGGTAATGGAGAAGTTGGCAATGCGTTTCGAGCTGCCGCAGCGCCGTTGGGTGGGGTGGCGAAGAAGTCGCTCGAAGCTGAGGTTGAAGGGGAGGCAGCTGTAGACGTGGATGGCAGAGTCGGCTCCCTATACTTCGACGAGCTTTCTTGATAGTTAGTCCAAGCCGAGATATGCTCTAGTTTCTCCTCCATCGTCATGCGCTCCATGGCCGCAGTCTCGTCGTCATAAGCCGCCCTTACCTCAGGATTGGTCTTCAAGGTCATCACCGGATACTTCGCTGCCAAATAGTCACCAACACGTTCGTGGTCCGTGAACGGTACCGTAGGATCGGTCTCCCTAGCCTTCTTGGCCCTCCTGATCTCCTTGTTCTGTTCAATCCACTCATTCATAGCTGCCGTGAAGGCCTCCGCATTAGAATGCTTGGACGCTTTGGAACCCTGACGATAACGAGACTTCAATGGGTCGGGACCATTCGCTGACCCTGTCGGGGCTGCGGTAGATGTCGAAGGATCAGGATTAGGATCTTCATGCGTCCGTTGGCGAAAGGGAAGTCCTCGCATGGGTCGGTCGGGGTGACGAGGTACGATAGGTGCTGCTCGCATGAATTCGATTACCGCGTCGAGATCTACATCCGGCTCGAATCTCACTAGGGGGCCAGATTGCTCCTTTATTTGCTCCGTCTCCGTCTCCGTCTCCTGGTCCTGGTCCTGGTCCTGGTCCAGCTCAAGCTCAAGCTCAAGCTCCTGCACTACGTCCTGGTCCTGTTCGACCTGTGCTTCGCCCTCCACTTCACCATCAACACCGCCCTCGCCCTCAAGTTCGCCTTCGACTTCACCCTCCAGTTCAACTTCGCCGTCTCCTTCGCCTTCTTCCACACCTTCTACCACCTCTACAGGCGGCTCCACATCCTCAAACACCCCCGGTCTCGCATTCTGCGAAATCCATTCTCTCAGTAGGAACACGGAAATGAAGACAAGGACGACAACGGTTGCGATAATTTGACCAGTGAAGATATCTTTAGAGATGACGCGGAGGAAGTTGTCGGATGTGATGGTTTCCATGATGGACGGGGTATGGTCGTTGTTGACTGGAGAAGAGTCGGTGGAGGAGGCGTAGTCGGGGAGCAAGTATGTCGAGTTAGTGGTGGATGAGATGGTGCCATTGAAGGAGAAGAGGCGGAGGAGGGCGGTGGTCATTACGTTGCTTCTGTTTTGGGGTTGGTCCGGCCGAGGACGAGCAGAGATCCACCATGCACTAGGATAAAGTAGATATGAGAACAAGAGACATATGTAAGATGAATGTCAAAGGAGTCATACGTGGAGCTTCCCATTGCGAAGTATATTCGCCATGTCCAAACCGTGAACCAGGGCAAGACCGCAAGCCAGACAAATGCGACGAGAACCGCGCGCAAACAGAATATGACCGCGTGAACGGCTTGTTGTGCAAATTGGCGGAAAAGGAGGATGACGGGGAGATGTGTGGGCATGTCCTGGGCATACACTATTGGGCCACTAGGATGAGTAAGAGATGCCGTGATGGAGGATGATGAGGACGCACCTTTGCTGAAAGAGTACTGATGCTTGCAGACGTCACACGTCTTCTTCTTGCTATGCTCAAGCCATGTTGTCAAGCTAAACCAGACACAAGTATCAGAACAGGTCTGGCGCTGGAATAGCAGTGGCGGGAGCACGTACCAGTCTTGGTGGATGTACCGAATGGTCCCAGAACATTTACATGGATGAAAGAGCGGCTGTCCAGGCTCGGCTGGAGCACTGCATATCCTACAAGTGTCTGTCAAAAAATCGCGTCAGTGAGAGGTCTGCACACTTTCAGAATGAGGTTCCATCTATCCCAAGGAGGCGCGTACCTTGCTCCTCAAGCATGGCGCACTCCCGGCCCTCCAATATTGGCGACGTTAAATCAATAAGTCGGCTTCAGCTCACAATCAAGGAATAACAGGCAGTAGAAGGTCTCGAATGAAGAAGAGCTTGTGGTAGTTGGGGACGAAGGAGATGCGGGCAGTTACACTTCGCTGCCGTCGATGCGTTTCTCGTAGGATATTTGTCCGACAAGACCCAGAGTGGAAACACTAACCTCGTCATGCATCATTACGTAATTTAATCTGCACCGCCTCGGAGAGACACATGCCTCCGTTGAGTCACGGTCTGCAAACGGACGTTTCTTTTAAACCACGTCAATACAGAGAATCATTGAGATAACACACAGATAAACAAGAAATCCGTGTTCCTATGAAGAAGTTGGAACAGATAGAGATAAAGCCGTTGAAAATACAGGAATAGGGAAGAAGGACACGAAGTCCAGTACATGACGGCGGCGATACATGGCAGGGAAAACTGAGAGAAGAAGTAAATTACAACGGATAGCAAATAACGAGGAGGAAAGAGAAAGGAGAAATGCAGCAGTGAAAGTACATACAGGAGCAGTGTCAGGCTCCCACTGTACAGCGAGTGGCACCGTAGACTAGGGCTAGTGTCGAAGGGTTTGATAACCTTCATGATCGACGCGGACTCCGTTTATTTCTCGGCACCAATATGGGTTTGCAAGTAGGATTGTAGAGAAAGCCACGACCAACGTTGCTCGATATCGCATAAGAGCAACTTGATGCACGAGGTGATGTCCGTCTTGGGAAGAAGTTTCGTTTTGGGATATGTAGAGCGCGAGGAAGAGGCATTGGGGTGAGGACGATGGACTGAGTACGTGAGCAGATGAGACGACGTAGACCAGAGGCGGTTGCTGCAGCAATCTCTAGCCCTGAGTCAGGCAGGATGTCAGACAGACCCAGGTCGGACATGGGAGTGGGCTCCACAGTCAAAGGTATGCTCCGATGAGGGAAGTGTCGGAGGGCAGCAAGGACCGACAGCAGGAGGGTTCGAGAGAGGTATTCTACGAGCGCATGTGATCACAAAGCGGTAGAGAGCAGGGTCTGCAATCGTGGTGAAGGTAGGGACCAATGCGAGCAGGGTAGCCTCAGCCCGATGTCCGCTCCCACAACAGTGGCGACTGGTCATTGAACATCTTCGCGACCTCCTCCGCTCGCTTTTTTACGGCCCATTTCGGCCAGACGGGGAGACTGCCCGGCTGCCACGTCCACGGAGAGGAAGAAGGTACGGCGCGAGAGGGTTCGGATCTGTACTTCCTCAAGGAAGCATCCGCCTTGTCGGCAACAGGCTGGTAGCGTCTTTGCTTCCGAGTCCATGCTCGGACGTCGCGACGATTCCCACAGCCATTCAGGAAATGCAAGTACGAAGGCTCAGGGACGGGGTTTTTGCCTCTGCGTGCAGGCGCCGGGAGGGCTTGTAGCTGAGGTTGATAAAGGGAATTGTCGAGTGGAACGTACGAAAACTCAGTACCTTCGAAGCTCGAGTCCATGACATCGTAGCGAAGGAAGACCTGCTCGTTGTCGCGTTCGTAAACGATACCAGAAGTTACGGACTCTACGCAGGAGGGAGTGAGGTGCTCATCCGGCCACCAATGGGCCCCTCCTGGAGGAGGTGCTCCGACGCGACTACGCGAACAAGACACAGTCGTCATCGCGGTCTCTGGTTCCGTCAACACACGGTGATGAGGCAGGTGCATCTGAGAGACTGGAACAGGCGGATCACGTCTGGGTTTGTTATAGCATCGGCCGAAGACGTCGTCGGAGCAGTATTTCGGGCGACTGCAGATATGCGCGGCCCGAGAGTCCGGGGAGACTGAGGTTGAGGGGGGCATTGACGTTGACGGCGGAGACCAAGAAAAAGGAGGTGCAGCTGGGTTCGAAACAGGTATTCCTCGTGCAGCAGCACGCCGGTGGCCAGAGTTCAGAGGTGGGCCAGGGACCCTTTCTGACATCCAACAATCCCAGATTTTCCGTGTAAGTTCTATTGCCTCTTGATAGCGATCTGGGAGCTCGTGGAGAGGGAACTGGAGGAACTTCATCATCGCATTCACGATGGCGGGGTAAGGATGCACGTGACAACGTAGAAGAGGGACGGTGTCGTATGGAGAAAGGTGTTCGACATAATTCGCGACATGTGGATGATGGCGACGCACGAAAGAGATTGGCTCTGTCAGGCATCGTAGCGGGATGAACTGGTAGTCGCGAACAGCACGAGGGTGAACCTGTGAAGACGACAATGAGATAGCGTGCGTAATCATAGTAGAGAAAAAACTACCTCGCGCCAGTTGGGCCGCTTAGAATAAGGAAGCGACCTATGAGCTTTAACATCGTCAAGAATTTGCCTTAGAAGTTCGATGCTCGGGAGGATGGCCCATGAGCCACTTTCGAAAGCTGAAACCATGTCTAAGCGCACTGTGTGGAATACTGTTATGATTAAATATTATCATAAAATGGAAGCATCCACGCACGGTGGAACACATTTGATGGTCTATCGAGACACAGGTCCAATCCTCTTTGCCCCCATACATGAGCGAGTCGGTATTGCTGTGAGGAAGTATCATATATCAGTATTTCGTGATAACAGAGGGCCATGGACTCACCAGATTCTTGTCAGACGAGAACGGATCAATCAGTGCTGTTTGGAAGAGGCCTGCGGCAGGTTGAGTTTCCGATGTCAACAAGCACCATGGTTCAATCCCCTTTGGTATCGTCGAGGCGCGAGAAGCAGAGCGTGGACGCGATGGGTAGGACATTTTGAGAAGAAAAAGTGTTTCGTGAGCAATTGTAGGCAGGAGAGCAGAATAAACCTAACGAGACGAAGGTCGTGGTCGTGGTTCAATTGATGCGAGTTCAAAGTCAAGCCAAGCCGGTGTCAAAGCTTTCGAACCGCGAAACCGGCAAATTCCGGTCCAGCCCAGTGCCAGTGACAGGGCTCGGGGACCTCCTGTCCTCGACGGTGCCGCATCATCCAGCTGAAAGTTTGTCGCTGCCAATAATCACGTCTAGTACCCTTGAATGTCTCCTGAAATGGATATAAAACCTAAGCCGGCCACTCTCTCACCGCAGGCATGCCGCCAATCATCACACGCTATTGCGTCGAGGGTCTACCTAAGAGTCGGTGGCAACTTGAAAGCACATCGCTCAGGAAGTTTACGACGGCCAACCCTGACAGAACTCGTACAATCAGAACCACCTCTCTTTGGTCCGCACTTTGGCAATTTGCCATCTTGAAGTGCCATCAATTGACCTCACGTTACACTGGCTTACGCTAGGCTGGCTTTTCTTTGAACTCGCCTCACTTGGAACAACTGTCTTTACTTTGACCTGTCTTTACTTTGACCTGACATGGCACCGCAGAATCCATGTCGCTTCTCGGTGATGCCATTGTTCTCCGGTTAGCTCAATATATAAAGGGCATAGCCCTCAAAGTTATCTATCACACTTCTCATTCTCCAACGTATATTCTCGTTTCTTGACTGCCACGACTTTGTTTATCCTCACCATGGTCGTTGTGAATCCCAACTCCACACCTGACTCTCTGGAGATCGATTTTCACGATACCACGTCGGAAGATGCCCAGAAGACACCTACCCGTGGACGAACTCCCACTAGAGACTCCTCCCTCCAAAGGTCGAATACTGTCTCTGGACACATAACTGTAGAGAGTGAGCTGACTAGTCCCAACTTTCTGTCTTCTAATATTGTCTAACTCACTCTCCATGCGACGTCTGCCACAGACTCGACCAACCATGCTCAGGCCACGTTAACAACATCCATTTCTTCCGAGCCTTCAGCTTCTGTGAAGAGCACAACATCAGTGGCGACCACCATCGAGGACGTCGAAACACATGATGATCCAAACTATCGCCCTACTCTTGATACCATCTCCGCAGCTTTGTCTCTTGCAGCTGAACTCAACATAGACCCATTACCGTCCTATATTGGCCAACGGACCCGGGGGGAGCGCTCACCAGTCCCGTTCAAGAATGTCAAACCGGGATCACTGGCACCGCCAAAGACACGGCGCAAGATTCGTATGCTTCAGAGGGACCTGAACATTCCTGAAGGGCAATGTGCTGTGACGCTAGAGCACACGCCGAAATCTTCCTTTGAGTATGCGCATGTCATACCTCGCTCCATCGCGTTGACCGAGGCATGTAGTTTTTCCTTTTCTTTAACTGTGCCGCTCACTAACGGACATTACCACCAAAACTCAGATTCGTCACCTCGAGAGGGCATTTGGCATGGATCCTGCGACTCTCAATATTCACACACACCCGAACGTATTTCCCTGTATGTCTTATTTCTCCACACGTTCAATGCGAACCAGTATTGCTCATAAATAATCTCCAGTACGCGTGGATGTCCACAAGCCTTTTGACGATGGTGTCTGGAGCTGTGCCCCTGTAGCTGGCTCCGATCTCGAGGAAGAGATGAAAGTCTACCTCCATGCACTCAAACAAGTCAAAGCAGTCGAGGGACACCCTCCGTATTGGAGACAGGTTAGCGGTCTTTCTATCGAACTTTCCTCAGCAATACTAAGCCCCCTCCCAGGTAATCAATCGCAAACAATACGAGTATAGTTTCGTTGTGCTTGATACTGAGCCGTGGGCGATCGCCCGACGTCTCCAGCCAACCAACAATCCAGATTATCATGTCCACGAGACAATCAACTACCCATTCGAAAAAATGACCATTAAAACTCACATTCACCCCTTCCCTTTCGTGTATGACCTGGTCACAAAAATCAGGCGAACCGCGGACCCTCCTCATACCCAACGGGTGATTGAAGATCGTCATGGCTGCTCAGTCCAGACGTACTTGGACATCGTTGACGAATGGATGGGCTTGGATCTACCACCCGATTATACCACCGCTGGGCCACGTCCGAAGCCTGTGTCGACCATAATGCCACCGGTCACACCGAGGTACCAACTTCGTCATCGTGTTAATGGCAAGGTACCGCCGAAGCCAAAGAATGCCAACGCTCATCGTGCGCAGACCGACCCACTTCCTGTAGACGAGGGTGATACATCCTCAGAGACAAGTTCCGACCATCCGCCAGCGGGTGTCATCCAATCCGATACTGCATTGCTTAACAAGAAGGTCGAATGGTAATGTATGCTTTATCTGGTGTCAGTAGTTCGATAATATCTTGTGCCCTCTAAATTCCCTCCCTAGTACTATAATCTTTCTTTACGAGACTCGATTCTTACATCGCATCCAAATTACCGCACACCCTCCTCTCTTAATTCCGCTTATGTCAGCCTCGTTCTACATATATGTCTCATAACTTTTCTCCGTCTCTATGTAATACCATGACAATTATGATGACTATTTCTAGCCCAATTGATGCTCTGTTCCGTGTGACGAAGGGAGTAGTAAGTATCCAAACGATAAGCGAAGCTGAAGGACCCATTGGACTACTTAGAAACTCCAGCAAGGTCACGCATGACTCTCAGCGATTGTCAATACCACGTTCCATAATTCAGCATACACGGAGAGCGTACCATCAGATACACGACCGCGCTACATAAGTAATAAAACATACTAAAAGGCACGACCGAAACTACATGTACATGACCTAATTGACTACATCCCATTCTCGCCTTAGCACCTCCCACTCATCACCATTGCCCTAATCAACGCCAATGCCACCTTCCTCCCCTTGTCCAACACGTCCTCGTCGCTCTCCGGTGGCACATGTAGAAACACGACCGGTCTCTCTCCCTCATCCCCATTCTTCCTCCATAAATGCGATAACGATGAATAATAGATGAAGTCACAGAGATAGAACCCCGCGTTGTCTGATGCTCTAACACTTATCCCCTCCGGCAGCCCCTTCTCACCTTGCCGTGCGCTAGAACGATGCATCCTCTCGATAATATCATCCACGTCCAAGGTCGACTGGACGATCTCCGGGCATCCCCTCCAATATTCTCCCTCCGCCAATCCCATCTCTTCCTCGCATTCTCTAAGCGTTCTCCCATCCACATCTAACGTCGGAGTGCCCTTCTTTGCGTTGACATCGTACCCGTCTCTATGACCTTGTCTCTCCACTCTATACTCGTTCGCATTGTTGGACATTCCGATATGTAGAATGTACGAGCATTGAGCGTACGAGGGGTCGTAAGATGGGGAGGAGGGAGAAGAATAGATGGCTGGGATGAGTTTGCGGACGGTAAGAAAGGAGACGTGGATCGGTTCGGGATAGGGTATGAGTCGAATGGTCAACATTCTTGGTGACGATTCATGGTCTTTGGATAAGGTGTTAGATGTGCCAGTGATGGGAATAGTGATGGTCGAAGGCAGGGAATGTGCGATGAGAGAGGATGGGTTACGCGGGTATTCTTCGCGGAAAGGGCCAAAGCCGGTGACTAGGACTTTGATCTCGTCAGGGGACTCGTCTGAGTCCATGCTGGAGGTGGAGATGCTAGATTCGGAGTATCTGTCTGATTCAGAGCTTGGGGTTGGGGAACGAGGTGGTGGTGGTGGTGGGGACGGTGGCATGATGATATCGCGTCACAAGCTTGCAGTGAAGTAGATATGAATAGATCGAGGAGCTCTGAATCCAAACTGCCAACAGGACAGCTGATTAATGGATAACGGTAGATTGACCACCACTGCTATTTTCCTCAGTGTATCAGGATATCATGTTCGGCCCAAGTGTCGTAGAACAAGAGGAGGCAAAGAGGATGTCCATGTGCTGATTGTGGCGGTGGCGATAAGCTGCGAACGCGGAAGGCCGGACGGATTTCAGTTCGAAGTTCCGAAGGCTTCTGATCCTAACAGAACCAAACAACCGCGTCGCGTTCAAGTCGCGTTAAGTCGCGATCGCGTTCCGCTTGATTAGTTCGATCATACTTTTTCTGTTCTCCTAATGATTGCCTAATAAGTACGGCACAAGGTAAATGGGCCCATACGAACACGCGTCACTCTCTGTATTTGCGCAATTGTCATGGTGTACTGATTGCTGCTCATACTTGTCTTGCACTCTACCAGTCGGACGTGCCATGGGTCCAAAACTCAGACTTCAATCACCTATGCAAACTAAGTAGTACTGAGATACTCCGCGTCCTCGCGGGCCAGACGAACCTGAGGCCAAATCTCGAGCTAAAGTGTTTGAGATGGTTGTTCAAGGCAAAAAGCTGGCGGCGAAGATCGCGATACATATGCAGGACCTGGAGAAGGAGCTCGACAAATGATATTTCTTTCGATTCGTACAGGACGCCGTTGAATGAATTCGAGGGTTGAGACCAGACAGAGCTTTGTACGCAGAAGGAGTCGAGTGCTACGATGGAGCACGATATGTAGAAGCGCGATAAAGAGTACTGCACAAAGTGATATACAGACTCAGTGCAACAGACAGGGTGGGTAGAGCAACGGTGCGGCAGCGTGAGATAGCGATAGTGATACGAAAGCATACGTGAATGAGTAGCGATGAGAGCGATTGGAAGAAATAGCAAGGCCATTGCATAGTAGGATACTGGGGGGTCGGAAAGGGTGGACTATACAGTCTATCTTCTTGCGCGTTTCTTTGAAGGCGGCTTCGTCCCCCTCGCAGATCGAGATCCACTTGCTGTAGTACGAGTGTCTTGGTCTACCTTAGTTTTCGAACGAGTAGAGCGTCGAGGTCCCGTCGAAGAAGATTCGCCGGTTACGGAAGTCGACGGGGATGCGTGGACGCCATCGTCTTCGACGGTATCGTCATCCGCTCCTCTCCTCCGTTTCGAGGCTTTGCGGGACGTGCTGTTATCTGGTGGAGCTACTGTGTCCTCTGTTGCAGTAGCATCGAACCTGACGGCGCGTGTCTGACCAGAGCCAGATGACGGCCCAGCGTGCTTGACGGGGGTGACGTTTCCGCGTTTGCGACTCGCGGAGGCACGACTGCGGTCTATATCCGCCTGTATCTCCTCCTTCGACTTCCAAACCTCGATGGAGCTGTCCTCGTCGGTGTACGGCCCATTCAGTTCGCGTTGTCGCATTTCCACTTCCGCCTCCTCCTGGATACGATAATTCTCATCCGTGTCATGCCAAGTCGGAAGTACACGCATGGCTTCCGCAAATGCGAATTGCTTCAAGAAGCGCTCGTGAACGCCGGTAAACTTCCTCTTCGAGTACGCATCCTTGAGGATCTCATGAAGGGCAGCGACGAGGCGTAAAGCAGGGCGGAAATACGGAGGGAACCAGGAGGACATCTCGGATGAGGCGGGATTCTCATGGACGAGGAGGTGACCTTTCTGTCTCGCGAGAGTAGCACCATCAAGTGACTCGAAAGTGGCCTTGATGGAATCCTTCAAATCCTGTCGGACGACCTCGTCTTCTGGCCATGCGTGCGTACGACGGGTTGCGGGACCTTCGTAGCTGACGCCTAGCCAGCAGAGCACCCAAAAAAAGGACTCTAAGTCGTGGACGGCGTCGTGCTTCACTGTACGTCCGGTTGTAGGCATGGGCTCCATCATGTCGTCGTCTTCCTCTGTGAATTGGACGCTTTTCGATTGCGGCGGAGGAAAACTATAGGGTCTACCTGTCAAGATCTCACCGCTCATGAACGCTCTCGTACCCTGGGAGTCATGTCGATGTTAACTTAAACCAGAAGGATAGTGAAGCAAGCCAAAAAAAAAAAAAAGAAGAACACTCACGCTACGTTCGTCGCCAATTGTAGCCCGAGTATGCTCTTTGAGGTTGATCGCGAAGTCAAGGTCGATAAGAACGCCATGATAGCCACGTTCGGTCGAATCGGGAATGATGAGAATGTTCCCTTGACTGATATCCCTGTGTAGAATACTTTCTTTTGCCAGAAACTGATGGCCTGGGTGTAGCAAAAGTAAGATACGTCAGGACATGATTGATGTGCTCGCACTCGATGGCGCCTCACCTTGGATAGCATCCCGCAACACGCCAATCATCTCACCCAAGGAGCGGAATCGAGTAAGAGGCAGGCCGTAGGTCTCCATGATCAAACGCGTGTGAATTCGATTGTGTGGCCCACCAGTCGACTTCGCCTTCTTCAAAATATCACCCTCGTACGGGATGTCGCCATGTGAGATGCTAGGGAGAAGATACTGGTCTCTCTTCAATGGATGGTCCGCCAGGATCTTCTTGGCTTCTCTCTGGTCGGTCGTGAGTAACAGCGCATCGTTCTCGGACGGCTTGAGGCCTCTGCGGATGAAATTGAGAGTATCGTCTCGTCGTCCTTTGATCCGAACAACGTTGTAGGAGTAGACCTTTGCGACGCCCGGCCCTTCACGGTAAAGATCGCCTTCGAGACCTCGCCGCTCGTCTCGCCAGGCGTCCTTGAAGACATAGACCTGGCAAATACCAGTCAGATAAGAGAGAGGAAGTAGGAGATGACACGACATGCCTTGCGGTCCTTTTGTTCTTTCTCTATATCTTCGACTCTCCAAGCTAGCCAGATCCTTGTTGCTCGTCCTCGAAGAACCTCGGCTCGGGCCAAACTCAGTGCTTTGTACAAGATAAACCGCTCCTGTGGTGGATCGCTACGACCGCGCGTCTCCTCGTCATCGTCGGACGTACCCGTTTGAGGATCAGGAGAGGTGGATGGAGCATCTACAGTGACCAGCCACATACGAGTATAGGGACTGGATGGGATATGAGCATCGTGGACCTGATAGGATGGGAGAGAATGTCCGTGGGGGTGATCGTCGTCGATGATGAAACGGAGCATCGTTGGATCCCAGCCTAATGACTCAGGCGCTTTCACGAGCAGGCCGACAATGACGCGGATGAACTGTTTCGCATTCTATATACCAATAGCTCGTAAACACTCATATGGACTGCGACATGGAAGAACACGAGAATGAAGCCTACCTTGTGGATATCGAACGGTGGTGCCGCCAAGCTTCCGCTTCGATCAACTTGCCATAGAGTCAATGCACGTCGAGCGAACACAAGGCCGTACATGAACCGACGATCAGGCTGCTCTCTCAACGTTGACCGGATATACCGCAACAGCTGCAAGGCGGCGGAATCGTCTACGTCCTTCTTGACTTCGATCAGGCTATGAATAGCGCGCCACCATAGGAGCGCAGCTATGGTAGTACTAATCAAGTCAGGCCTACTCTGGTCCTGGAAGTCGGACTTCGGTGGCGACGCATGCTCGTCGCGCCAATGAACTTCGTACAAGGCCTCTTTGCATAACTCGAGTATCTGGTTTAGAAGCTTTGTTAACGGGCTGTAGAGGACAGTCTCGTTCCTGGGAGATGTTGGGAGGTGCTTCCAGATTTGTTTATTGGGATCATAGGCTTTGCTTTTGACGAGGGCTCTATAGATGCGATCTGTAATCTTGTTGATCAAGGGAGCGGAGTCGCCGAGGAAGGTATCGATGAGCCCCTCCGTATTACCGTAGGCATGGCCATCCATCTCGTTCGCGACGACGCGCTCAGCATCGTAGATAGAGCTGCGAAGATGGCTATCCAGGGACGAGGTGTCAGTGCCTTTGTGAGGAGTATTCAGAGGGGTGTGAGTAGCCATACGAGTGATGGGGGAACACGAGCTGGTCCTCCTCTTCTGATGACCACAAGTTATAGTCTTCTTCGGTGGCGCTGTCGAACAACACTTTGACGAATTGGGAAGCGCGTGAGACAACATTTAAAAACCAGGGCACCTGCAAAGAAACACATACACGAGTCATGCCGTTCTAGATCCGCACAAGATAACGCTATATTAGGATTGCGTGCTTTGATTGAGACAGATGTGAGTCAGCGATACTCAACTAGAGCAGAAGCGCTCGACTCACGATGCAGTGGTTGCCCTGATGAGCGTCGACCACCATTTCGAACTGACTGGTCTGAAGAGATGACGTTCAGAGGTATCTCCGCAAGTGGAAGAAGCATCTTATGATAAATGAGCTGAGTGGGAGGTGAAAGAGCTAAAAGTCTATCGATAGTCGACGGGGTATATATAAGGCCAGTAGCTGCGCAGGTCGAAGTTCAGAAGAAAGGCCATAAAGGGAAACGTGTTCAGGGACAGGAGTCTCGGCTCCAGCCGCACGGCTGACACGCTGTCCAACAACTCGTCAACCCTTGCCTCCATGATCCTGACCATCTGGATCATCGACTTCAAATATTGAACAGATGCTATGCTCACAATATATTTAGTACGCTGGGGTCGGGATGTATGGCTCAGTCCGCGCCTGAGGCCGCGCCAAGTTGAAATTCCGAAGGCTTCTGATCCTAACAATACCAAACAAACGCGTCGCGATCGGCGGAATCTGTTTCCTCCCGCCTCATCTTGCGACCCCCATCCCTGACACACAAGGTAGGCGATTATTATTCGAATACACCGAGATCTTCTGTCTCGCGCGACATTCTCTCTACGATCGTGTTGTTGCTTATTTCTTGGTGCACTTCAGAGCTCAGACTCACCTCAACCGAACGCGTCATGGCTCCAAAACGTAGACACCAAACTCGTACCAACCCTGGAACTTTTACTCCTGACACTGCATCCATCGTTAAAGTATTCAATGCAGCACTTGCGGATCCTCTGCATCCTACAGGCTGCATCCATCTGCTGAACGAACCCCTCATGGTCTTCGGCGAGGACCAGTACATTGGTAACGTCCTCTTCGATCTCCGCCAAAACCATCACGACTTCTACACCACCTGCATGCGCTTCCTCGTCACACCTCCCCCAGGCGAACACAAAGATAGCCAGGAATCTGAATCGACGAAAGAACTCATCTCGATCATGTCAACTTGCACTTGCGACCTGTCGAACCCAACGATCAAATATCTCCATGAACGTTCCCGCAAACGTCATGGCAAACCTAACCTCCAGACTATATTCTCTAACATCGCAGGGGCGGTTCAAATGGCTCTACAACCCGCCAAAGCCGAAGGAAAAGTCCACAAAGTCGAGTCGAACCTCAAGAAAGCCTCCGAGAAAGGTCTCGAAGCGCCTTTGTGGCCCACCTGCCCTCAGGATCTGTTCCCTATCGGTGCTGAAGAGACCATGAACGCGCTTGCTCAATGGCTCGAGATTCATGCTGCGCCTGGCTTACTCGGATTCTTAGGCTCGTACCTCGAGATCTGTAAACGTGCTGCTATTCCTTACTTCATCGCCTCTCCGACGCTTCCTGGAAAATTCGTCGGTATCGCGGAGATCATATACATGGTGTGGGCATTCCAGGAGCAATCCGACAGAGCCAGTTGTGCCACCAGTCTTACGCTCCTGAAGGGCGCGGCCCTTGTGGCCCTCTTGCTCACCAGTCACTGCACGAAACAAGAGCTGGTCGAGTTCGAGAAGAGGGCCGAAGTCCAGCATCGATCCGTCCTCGGCCTCTGCAAGACCATCCTCGAGTGGCTCCCCAAACTCGACGCATCGATATGGCCCCGCGATACTTACCAGTCCTACGACGCCGGCAAGGGCGTTTCGGAGGATATCGCTTACGTCCGGGAATGTTTCACGGGTCTGGGACAATGCATTCATTATTTTATGGATCTGCCGTTCGACGTGGAGGAATACCATCCGACGATCGTGTGGCGCTCAAGGATGCATCGCGAGATGGAGAAGGATCCGAAGACGCTGGCGTTCAGTGTGTATTTCGAGCTGTATACCGCGCAGCGGTGTTTTGCGCCTGGATGTCAGGAGACGTACGCGGGCGCGGGGAGGAAGTTCGCCTACTGCAGCGGGTGTAAACGCGTCCCTTACTGCTCCAAGGAGTGTCAGGTCAGTACTTTTTTCGAGTCATTCTCATTCTATTTGCCCAGTTGTCCCCGTACTTTCGCTCACAAGGTGAACACGTTCGCAGACTGCAGCTTGGAAACACCCCAGAGTACCCCATAAAGATGTCTGCAAATACCTTCGAGTCCTCGCCGAACAGACGAACCTCACACCGCACCCCGAACCGTCCGATGGACCAGCATTCGTCCAAGCCATTCAGGACAAAGAACTCGCCGCGAAGATCGGGCTGCACATGCAAGATCTGAGGAAGGAACTCTCTACAAATGGTACCGTCCTTCTTTCCCTTTTCTTTCGGCGCGGTCTCTGGCGTTCCTCCCGTGTTCGATCCGGCGTTGTGCTAATTTAATTTGTGCTTGCCCTTCACCTCAGTACCCTTGAAAGAGTCTAGACCGCCCACTCAAAACGATGATGAACTCGAAACCGAGGCTACAGAACCTAAGGTCGACGATATGGAGGTCGCTGAAAGGTGATTTTGTTACTGCCATGCTTCTGCGTCTATTGTTCTCTGATAGCCTGTGATGTCTTCCTAGAGTTGAAAACGAAGAACTACCTGTAGTAGGGTAATGGTGATCGATGACCGCCTGAGCCTGAGGGTTCATCCGTGAAAAAATGAGCTTGAGCGTTGTATGTATTATGTATCCATGTTGTTGCAAAACTTCTTGTTGCTCCTCACTCCTCGAAGCACTCGGTGAATGACCGAACATACTTGGAGGTGCAGCATGCCAGTGCGGGCGACAACAGAGCAAGATGGTCGCTTCGTCACGAATAAACCAGCGGCCTACATGATATCAAGAAGGAAAGCTACTCCTCTATTCGATATAGCTTGGCCTCCGCGCACCCTCCGACATTCTCCACGGTAATCGATGCAGAAGGGACTAAAGTTTTTGATCAGGTCCTTGTTTCCCCTGGAGATTACTTACACGTTGAGGACTGGTACAGCAAATGTGACAAGCTGTTTTGGCCAGTTTTGGCCAGTTTGTTCGGTTTTTCTCAGTTCCAAGGAACGGACAGTTCGGGCAAGTTTGGGTTTTGAGGCGATATTTGCCCAAACTCAGTGAAACTCACAGGAACCGCGAAACTGAACGAAACAAAAATATCACAAATGCCAAAAACAATCATACTCGACATAAACTACTACACTGAAAAAAGAGGCGAAACTCAGATTTCTCTACAATAGCACTCCTGCTACTCTGATGATCTCGTTGAAGGCCAAGACGCGACTCTACGCGTATGGACCAATGCCACTCAACGGCGCTTGCTACCTCACTAGTAACCGTCCCTCATTGCATGCACCATTCCAACTGTGCCCCCGGTTAGTATGAACATGGCGGCTCGCTATCGCAGTCCCCGTGCCCGCCAACGGTGAAAGACCGTGCAATGGCGACGATCTCGTTAGTCCGAGCAAAAGAACACCGCCGCCGTGAAACTCGAGTTTGGTGTTAGTAGGCAGTGTCATGGGCCGACCCTCCTGTTCAAATCGTCGCTTTGAGGTGTGAACCTCATGGTGGGAGAGCACAAAAGTAGGGAGCGAGTGAACTCTTCAAGATCGGAGGACGTCCAACTTTATAAGTCAGAAGATGACGAAGGCGGGATAGGCCGAGCGGAGTTGTAAGCCGTTCACAGTACGATCGTCGACGCGTCAACGCGTCGTCCATGCTCTTCCTCCCACCGACGACCATGGTGCACGCTGCCGCCCGCCCGCTATTCTATGAGGTCTGCATCGTCAGGCTCTCTAGCTATTATAATGTACGTGATCCTCTGCCTTCTAGGTCCCGGTACCCCTTAGGGCTTAAAATACACATCGCGGTCAAGCGTCGCGCGACGCGCCGCTTCTCACTTCTTTCTTAACCGCTGACTTGTTGTCGTTGACACCCCGACACGCCCGCCATGGCTTTTGGCCATCATATCAGAGGGCTTTTAATCCATTCGTGCCGAGTTTACATTTGATATCCCTTGTTCCTGTTGCTAACTAGCTGACCTTCCTTAACTTGGAGGTGGAGGCGACGCGAGAACGTTGAGGCGGGCAGCGGCGGTAGAGCAGCGGCAACAGCGACGGCCGGGTGGTCTTGGTGGCTAGTCCGGTACGCCCTTTTTGCATCATCCTCCAATTACCCTGATCCTCGACAACCTCTCCCACTGGCTCATTGATAATCTTCGAACACGGCGTCCTCTCTCACCACAATGCTCACTGAACGCCGTCCCTTCAGGAGTAGTAGCTTCCGCGATGCGGCCCTCAAATAATCTTAAACTGTATGTCTCTGATTTCGAGCTGTTAGGTCGCGGTCCGGTCGGGGTGTGCTCTAGGTGGTTGTGGGTGTGTGATTCGGCTGATGAGAAGACTATAACAGGTGTAGTGGGCATCAGAATGGGCGGCGGTAAGTCTGTACTTCTATGCTTCCGTTGACGCCCTGTCCGTCGTGGTGTACGGTTGCTGTATCTAGTATACTATATGTACAGTATTCGGAACCATCCAATGCATGAATATAACATTTTCATTGTGATTCATGTGCTCGTCAACCCCTGAAAAGCACCTGCAAAACCCCCAAAAAACCCCCAAAATAATTGTTTACTTTTGTGGTTTGAGCAGTAGTTTGACGGTTGTTTGACAGCAGTTTGATTCGAGTGCACAAACTACAATGGAGTTTCCAAACTCCGAATTTCCTTTCAGGGTTTGCCGGATTGAGAGTTTTGAGGAGTGTGAGGCCGCCCAAACTCCATCAAACTGGGCCAAACTGGGCCAAACTAGATTGTCACATTCGCTGATGCTTCAAGGTTCAGGCCGGAGGCGAAGATGCTGGAGTTTATATTCTCTTTCGGTGCGCAACTTCGAGGACAATGTCCTATAAAAACCTTTCGACTGATAGGCGCCTATGAGGGATCAAAGATTCAAAAGGTGTCTGACCGGAGCTCGAACGAAACAAGGAAGGCGCGAAGTGTGCAACGGAACCGAAATTGAGGCTCCGACGGCTTGCGATCATAACAAAACCAAACAGTTGCGTCGCGTTGAGCGCAGCAACGGACTGCTGCCATCATAGACCGATTTTGCATCCGAGTCGTGCTACTCGACTCATCATGTAATGTCTTTCTGCTCGTTCCTTCGCTTGATGTTCTTGGAATTTGGCTTTTGCTGGAGGTTCAGTTTCTCTCTGCGTCTTCTCGGTAAATTTCGACCACTTGCCGCAAGCACTATCTGTCGAACTCAGGCTGCCAGTGGGAAAGTCCCAGAGTCGCCTCCCCATGGACGTTCACGGACGCTTCTAAGATGGATGACAGGATGACAAGGAAAAGTTCAAACCTACTGCTTAGCCGCGTGCCCGTTTTGTTGTCCTCTGTTTTCTGGTTTTTGTTTTGGAGTTTCCATAGGTCTCATACCTAGCTCGTTCTTCTTAGTCTGTCCTAGAAGACGCCAGCTGGAACCTCCAACAATGCGACGTGGACTTGTCAATAGTATGAAAGACCTCTGCTTCGCTCGCGAGTTGTTTCGATCTCAGATCTCAGCCTTCCAGCCTCCGGGTTCTCCGTTCCGCTGTCTAGGCTCCGAGAGCGCCCCTTGCTCGAGCAAGCTCATCTCCCTTTTGAGAACATGATCCTACATATGAGGAAATCGAGTCGCCAAGTCCGGTAAGAGCGCCAGGCTGATGGGCCACGAGGATCCCCGCCGAATTTGGCTCTGTCTCGACGCGCTGCTCCTTCTCTCTCCTCTTCTTTCTTCTGACCGTGTCGTGCCTATATTGTCTCTGTATTTTTGCCCATTTTTGCAGCCGTGCCCGCCGTCGTCCTTAACAGTCGTTCCGCGGAGATCTCATTCTTTCCCATTCTCAGAGGTGATCTTGCAAGGTTAGGGGCTCGCTGTGGGCTTAGCTTGCAATGCATTTAATTGAATTGGACTACTAATCGCGATTCGTCCCATTTTTTTATGTGCACAGATACTATAGTGTCGGGCTAAAGACAGGTTCAAATATTGTCTACTGATCACCACACCGTCTTAGCATCGACCAGACGAGCTCTTAGCACGCATATATCCATCTATTCTGCCAACGGGTGTACAGTGAGTCTCTACCCGACCCTCTTCGAGAACATCCGTCATGTTTCTTCCTCGCACTGACGTCAACTTTTCGTACCGTTACAGTTCCTCTCAAAGCATATATCCACAGCATCTATCATGTCGACCGACCTCTCGTCTCCGAGCACTAAATCCACCACGAGTTATCGACCCCTAACGACCTACTCCCGCCGGTCCAATCGCCGGTCTCATCCTTCCCAGTCCACGTCCAACTCCTTCAACGATCCCACGGCATTGGCTTCAAACGACTCATCACCCCCATCCGTCATGAACCCATACGATTCCGAAGACAATACGATCTCAGAGACCGAACGCCGATTGAAAAAGCGGGCAAGGCACTCTCAGTCGCAGTCGCATTCGCAGTCCGTCTATGTCGACGTCCCCACTCTGAGTCACAGTCGTAGTCGCGAGCTTGTGGACCAACGCCAGAACCAGTCTCATGCACGGAACGCCACGAACGGGACTAATGCGACCTCTACCTTCGCTTCGGGTACGCTTGCCGGAGAATCGGCTATGACGAACAACACGACCGTTGACCTAGAGGGATCGGGGCACGCTTCTAAGCGGTTTAAGATGCCTCCTCAGCCTGTGTCCGCGTCTACCTCTCTCTCTGTTTCTCAATCTCGCACATACAAAACGCATATATCTACCTCTACCGCCAATTCCCCTACCAACAACACCATCTCCTCAGGACTAGTGTCCTTCCCTCTGATGCATCACTCTTCTTATCCTGCCCAAGACCAACCGCAAGATATCGATTTCAGCCAATTCAAAACCCCCGCAAACGCGGAATCGCTCTCTCCCGTTCAACCTCCGCCTATCGATCCGAACCGGGGCAGAGATCGGGACGGCAGAGCTCATGCTCGTCCTCGAAACAGCCAACGCGATATCGAAGGCCACGACCCGGTCTCGAGATCGCAGTCCCGACATGGTGGCGGTGGACGGCGAACTGGAGGTGCGGGGGCAGGAGGGGATATGAACGCATTCTCTCCCGTTCCTGTTCAACGTGTGCGCCAGAAAGACGTGAACGTAAACCGAAATCGTCAACAGGAAGCTCCCGACGGTCCTGGATCCGGACAGTTCAAAGTTCCTGCCCTCCCACAATCGAAACCGCAATCTCAGCCTCAATCCCGTTCACAATCCAAATCACGTCGTATCTCGTCTCGTAGGCTCAAGGAGAACGCTACCGCCACCGCCACAAATACCGCTACTTCGACTTCGTTCCGTCGTGGTCAAGGTCAAGGTCAAATTCTGGGTGAAGGTCTCAGTCGTAGTGGACGCGCCACACCCGCACTCGGATTCCCCCTCGCGTCGCCGTACCAGACTAAACCTTCGTCGCCTACCCAACCTTCCCTTGCTCCCGCTCCTGTGAGGAAATCTCTCGGAAGTCCAGGTGAGATAGTCGGACTGGGTGGAGGGGGTGGTGGTGGCGGTGATGAAGCGAGTATGGTGAGGAATCGAGGCTCGGGGAAGAAGAAGCCCGCGTTTTATACGAAGACGAGGACGATGTCGGATGCGAAGGTGTACGACGAGCACTTGAGGGCGGACAGGGACCAGGATGGATTCGTGTTGCCGGTGGGACGTGCACTTCCACAGCGGCCTAGGGCTTCGAGGAACGTGACTGGCGTTGGTGATGGTAGCGGTGCCGGTGAGGGAGGAAGCGGTGGCGGGGGATCATTCGGTGCGGCGGCGTTACGCGAATACGCATATTCCCAGAGCGTCATTCATTCGCCTACGCGTCGGGATGAAGACCTTCCGTTACAGTATGAAGGACCGGGAATTACCCTCAAGTCTTCCAGGTTCAAGTCCAACGGCAAACCTCCTGCTACGCGCCTGCCGTCCAGTCGCAATGTTCACGACCAGCCTTCTCATTCCAATGCGCCTCCTCATCTTCATCCTGGACAGATGCAGGAAGAGGGCTTGCCCGCTTCAGCGCCTGGTCCGGTCCCGGGGATGCTCGACCTTTCGCAGATATCGAGCGAACAATGGCATAAACCCGCCAAAGTCTTTTCTCTCGCAAAAACACAGTCCCAATCCCATTCCTTGTCACTGTCGAGGCGGCGAGGCAGCGGCGACGATGAAATCAACCTAGACGAATTGTTGTATCCGCCGAATGAGACGCCGCCGGTATTCGAGGTTGGGTATGGCTATGGTGGTGGATTTGGGTACGGGCATGGGTATGGATATGGGCTTCAGGATGATGGTGATGGAGATGGCGAATACGAGGTTCCTCAGGTATCAGAACGGTCGCTCGAGTCGAGGGAGGCGTCCATGCATCTCGAAGGAGATGAGGAGGCGGAATTCGGGGGGGCGATGAGGTATAAGGCTGGGTGGTTGAATCTTGAGCCTGATGAGGAGGATGGAGGGGTAGACGATGAAGATGGAGAGGAGTCGATGGATTTGACCCTCCAGGCTCTCGATTCGATTCGTCATCCTGGCGGTAGTCGTTCTCGAAGCCAAGACGAAGTCGGACTCGGGCTTGGGTTTGGTCTTGACCCGGGCGCGGATGTCGAGATGGGCGCGGGTGCGGGGTGGTTGATGGGTAGTGCATATGGGACGGGTAATACCCTGGAGATTGGTGGCGGGGAAGAGCAGTCGATGTCGATGGAGGCAACGAGTTTCAGAGGGCCACCGAGCACGCCACCGAGGTCAACGAGATCGAGTTCGTTCTTTGCAGATGTTCCCATGGGGACGAGCACGCCGTTTAGGAGGAAGCAGAGAGAACTGATGGAGAGGAGTAGGGAGGAAGGCGGTTTGAGAGGGGCAGGAGGAGGAAAGGGAAAGCAGAGAGCGGAAGTCGCTCCTTCTGCGCCGAATACGCCTGATCGCATGGTTGCCGGGAGTGGTGGCGAGAGTATGGAGATTGAGATGGAGGACGAAGAAAACGAGCCGATGACGCTGGATTCGCTGTTTGATAGTGGCGTGCCCACGACGTGGAAGGGATTCAGGCTTGGAAGGGAGGATGAGCAAGGGGAGAGGAAGAAGAAGACGAAGAAGGTGATGCATTATACGCCGAACAGTATCTTTTCGTCCAGCTTTGCGGATGCGACGGAAGCTACCGAGTATACGACCGCGCGCCGTGGTCAAGGGGGTGCTGCTTCCGGTTGGCCACCTGGGACGTTGAGGCGTGGGCTTGGATCTGGGTTTGCGCTAGGGAAGGACTCGTTATTTGACGATTACGAGGACGAAGAGGACGAGGATGAGGATGAGGAGGACGAAGAGGAGGGTTTGAGTGGCAAAATGAGGAAAGTCTCCGTTTCCAACCGTGCCGGTAAGTTTTTACGCTCTGTTTATTCTCATTCCATACCCTTTTTGCGATGTCTATGTTCTCCTCGTCCTTCGTTAAACTTACCGAATGTGATTTATCCCAATGCAGACCGCGCACCTCCCAACCGCACCCATTCCCTTCCCATCCCAATCCCCTCCGGCCTCGCCGCTCCTTTCCCAATCGGTGCCACCGCCACAACGCCCCCGTACCAGATCTCGAAACGTAGCCAAGCTCAAGACAATCTGGGTGGACAATCTAGAAAGACTGTGGGCAGGAACAGGGCAGGAACGATCAAGGCGAGCGATTATGACTTCCGGTCCGCGTCAGCGCCGAACCAGCAGAATATGAAGTTCTCGGTCTCTGTGGGCGGGGGTGCCCTGGTAGGTGATGACAACACGGAGGACGAGGAAGAGGGAGGAAGGGAGTATGTTAATGCGGCTACCAAGGTCCCTGGCGGGAGAGCAAGGTCCGGGACGATTAGGGCTTCGGCGGTCAATCCTGGTGCGGGCGGTGGCGCTGGAGCTGGTGGTGGACGAGCGAGGTCGGGGACTATCAGGGCTTCTTCGTTCAGTGCTGAGACTTGGAATCGACCGCCTGTTCCTCCGATGCCGACTGTGGCACGGACGAACACAGGTGGCGGTCGTGAGGTCGAGGCGGGGATAGCGCCTGAGGAGCAGGAGATGGTGATGAATATGGACATGGACATGGAGCCGGAGGGATTCGCCCAGAATACGACTGCTGGGATCGGGAAAGATAGTGGGACGAGTCTGCAGAGGGAAATGGAGATGGACGCCGCGAGAGCAGGTTCTTCCTCCCCAGATCCTATCGACTTCCTACGACTTCGAGGCGGTCATTCGTCCGGTGAGGATGACATGAACATGGACGACGATCCTGCGTTTGCTGTAGTTCCCGTTGCGGATCTGGATGAGGATGAGAGGAAAGAGTTGAGGAGAAAGAGGACGTGGAGTCGGAAGATACCGTTCAAGGTGAGGAGGAGGTTGAATGTCGTTGAGAGCATGAATATTGGGGTTGGAAATTTGGAAGGCGATGAGTTGCTTCTGGATGGCAGGGGTGGGATGTTGGATTAGAGGAATAGGTGAAAAGAATGAGTGGTTGCTATTGAGCGGTGAGTGCTGCAATTGAGGGCATCAGGAGTTTCATGCTGACGCTATCTGCAGATTACCCAAAATCGGTCATTAAAAAACTCTGTGGAACTTATGCTTTGGTCTTCGCTCTTTGGTCTTGGCCTCTTCTCGTATGCGCTCTCGGACGCTGTTGTGGTCTCCTCGCTCGTCTCCTCTCTGCATCTCTTTGTCTGCTTTGCATTGCTCTGCCTGGTCCTGCTAGGCTTGTGGTTCTCTTTTCTGTCGCACCTTCATCTCGGAACATAGTCTCGTCAAAAGCATGGAATGTTTCTTCTCTCCCCTGTCCTCTCTGCTTCTTCGTCTCATTCTGCCTCATCATGGATCTCGCTCAGCATTTCCCCCCGCATCTTCCAACGCAGTTCCCGGATCGTCATACCCATAGCATCAACATCTTCTGGTCTGCATTCGTCTTACTACGTATATGTGCCAAATCGCTCGGTCATCTGTATAGCTCTAGTGTTTCCCCTAAATTGTCGGCTGTGTTATTCGCTTCGCCTCAATATTATGCATCCATCCATTACCCTCATCATTGATGAAATCTTTACCTTCTCCTTTTTGCCCTCTAGGATGTGCTACTGAGATACGACCTGCGTTGTCTCCCTCGTTTGGCCTTCTTGCCGATAATCTCACTTCCGATACGTTTGAAAGCTGACGCACATAACTCAAGCTGTTCCATGTTCTCAACTTGCGTTCTAACATCCCCGTCTTTCAGGAACGGCCAACTAAGCACAACGGCGTTTATCAGCGTGCGCCTGTCTGCCTGCATTTCGTCAATCACCTATCGTTCTTCGGCGATAGGTTATATCTCGCACCTATGGCTTGAGACATGTTTCCAGAGGGCTACGTTCTCTAGGTGACTCTGCGCCTAATGATCCACGAGCAATTTCGCCTTTCGACTGTTTTCGTGCGCACTGCTGGCGAGTCTCCCGAGTCTCCCGAATTTTTTGTGCCTACCTGGTATGTGATTCGCCGTCGCTATTTCTCCTCCACTAGCATGCGATGTGCAGCTGCTTTGCTTGTACACCGCCACTATGTGCCTTTACTTCCCTCTCGGATACTTTTTCCCTAGAAGGCTAGAAACATCATCCGTATACGAGTTGACTTCAACCTGTTCATCTACCTGTCATGCTTTTGGCAAATCCGCTTTTAAGGAGGACCATACGATCTGTGCGAGCGTGAAAGCGTACATACAACTGTCATTATGATAGCTGCATCCGATGCGCAAGGCAACCGTGCGTCGTTCATATGCAACTTTTGTCTCGTGTCGTGCTGCATATGCATAGCCTTTGGGTATCCTTATAGATGCGGGTCACTGTGAGCGACTCACGTCAACTCATGTTCTCTTATTACGCTTCATGAGATGCGGGTATTGGGAGGCCTCTGAATGGTGGCGTACCGGGCTGGAGTTTGAGCGCCTCCGAGCTGGCCAATCTTTGGCAGGTCCACCACCCTTGCTGCGATGTTTATCGCTTACTCTCGAAAGAATGTTGCCACGGATGTTTATACCCTCCATGGCATTGAATAGAGGTCGGAGTCTCCGTACTAGATGTTGACTAAGACTACTCGAAATTCCTGTGCTTTTATCGGTAATCCTATCACCTTTCAAACGCCTGTTCAAACTTCAAGGGAAGGCTGCGAGGCACGCATCCATTCATTTGGATTCTCCAATATGAGGAGCTTCGGAAAGCCCGTAATCGGACGAAGAGTATGCAGGTGTCATATAATACAGGTGTGTACCGACCGCGAGCAGCTCCCCCACACCCTGCGATCCTTTTTGCTTCCGTACCCTCCATCTGCGAACATGCTGAGCCGTGCTGCATACCACGCTCACACGCTATTACTGTTCACAAAGGATGACTTCCGAACGACTATGATCCCCATCGTACGTACTTAGCTTGCGAGCTTCTATATCTGTCCATACACCTGTCACCTATACTGATAAGCTCAACCTTCCATACATACAGACTATTTTCGCAGCAGCCTCCGCCCCCCTCTACTCCGCCGTGAAACTCCTGCACGTACTTCTCTGGATATGGCTCCACCTCCTCCACTTCAACCTGTCCAACCAAACCAGAGATGTCTCCGAAGACCTCCTCAACAAACCCAACCGTCCTCTCCCCTCCGGACGGATATCTCTATCCAACGCCGTCGCTATACGATGGCTCTTTGTCCCAGTTTGTTGGGCTCTGTCGGCGGCGTATAGTCCAGCGGTGTTGATGGCCAGTCTGACGTTGACTTTCTTCGTCATTGTGTATAATGAACTAGGAGCGTCGGGTGGACATTTTCTCGTGAGGAATTTGTTGAATGCGATTGGATTGGGATGTTTCGAGGTTGGGGCGACTTTGATTGCTGGTACGCCTCGCTCCGACTGGTGAACTGTACAGCGGTACAGCGTCTGATACTTCGTTTTTGGATCTGTAGCGAAAGACCCCTCCCACCTCGACTCCACCATGATCCTCTCCGTACTCCTGAGCACAAGCATACTCACTACAACCTATCACGCCCAAGATTTCCGCGACATCCACGGCGATCGTCTCATCGGGCGAAAGACTCTTCCTATCGTCTATCCCTCCATCGCCCGTCCCAGCGTCGCATTCGGCGTTCTATGGTGGACGGTCGTTCTTTGTTTAGTTTGGGAATTATGTCGCGTCGAGAATAGTCATAGTGGTGCGATGGATGTGATGAATGTGATTCTGGCGGGGTTGTTGGTCGGGGTGGCGGGTGTTGTTGGAGGGAGATTTTTGTTGTTGAGGGATGTGAAGGATGATAGGGTTTCTTTTCATTGGTATAATGTACGTGTCAGTCGCTGGCGTGGTGACAGTACGGATCAGAGCTGATTGGTTCTGGGTCATTGATGGTGGTTTTTATAGGCATGGCTCACTGTTGTTCATATCCTTCCTGGGGTATGGAGGTGGTCAGAGTCGAGAGGACGGGTTGCATCGTGAGGTTATCTAAAGGTGAGTATATTGTTAGTTCTTCTCAGGAATATCCCAAATCCATACTTCTCCCAGTGACTGATAGGCTATTCGCTCGCATATCTGTTGTATTATATTGTGCTTGGGACTGGCATTGGGATGACTGAGAAGATAGACACCGTGACTATAGATCGTAGACCATAGAACTGCATATATCATCGAGGACATTCACAGCACGAGAAAGTGTCATTTTTCATCCAGACCGAGTGCGCCATCGAAAGCGAGAATGTTGAGCGCTACTGTGGCGGTGGCGGCCTGATACTACAACCGTAGAAACAATCGTTCCTCTTGCAGCGTTTAGGAGTCGGAGAACGAGCCACACTTTGAGTTGTAATCCATACGAGCAATCTCGATAGGATTGAAGAGAGACCATATAGCACAAGAAAGCACAAACAGAACTAAAATTTTGACTTTCGTGATCAGCGAACACGGAGCACCAGTCGCCTTGAACATAATACACACACATTACGAGCGAGTCAAGCCTCAGAATAACACACAGCCCCCTCCTCCTTACGCCAAACCGCCCGTGCCAACTAGAGCTCAATTCCTGCGACCAGGACTCGCACTCCTTCCCCTACCTTCCCTACCTCCTCTGCCCTTCTTCGGACCCGTCGGCGGTGGTCGTACGAACGCGTAATCGCACTGCAGTTGTTGTTCGAGGAGTGTTGTGCCGGAGGCGCCGTCGATGGCGGCTTGGGCTTCCGCCATGGTCTCGTATTCGACCAATGCATAGCCCTATTTGAGCACGGGAACCAGGATTCCGAGTTGAGGGATCGACGAAGAAAGTAATGTGTGGGGCAGGGAGAAGAATAACGGGAATAACGGTGTGAGATCCTGAAACAGAGGGAAGAAAGATGGAGGGAAGGTGTAGGTGGACGCACCTTGACATAACCTGTTCTCCGGTCGAGGTTCAGGTGCAAGTTTTTGATCTCTCCATAATCTGCAAACTTCTCATTCACGTCCTCTTCTGTCGCCTCTTCATGTACGTTCGTCACGAGGACTATCCATCCTTCTACCGCTAGAGCGCCACGAACAGAGAACGATCGTGAGTCAGACGATCCTGTTACAGACAAATAATAATAGAGGCAATGCGTATAATTATTGTAGAGCCGAAGGGCTTCGCGTGTGGTAGGGAAACGTTGCGATGGAGAGAGGACTTACAGCGCGCTGCTCTGGTGTCTGCGGGTGCTGTGGTGGATTCCACACGGTCGTATGTCTGCTCTGCGCCGAGCCCCTTTTCGTTACCACCTATATCACAGACAATGTATGTCATTAGAGATTGAACTTTGACCTCAAAAAGTAACCGTACGCACCTGCGTTTTGGAAACCACGTCCTCTCTTCCTGACCGTTCCTCCAACTATCCGTGAGCGCCATTTGATTCGACGCGTCAGTAATGAGACATCGTGCAAGAAAAATGCGTGACGCACCATCGTCAATGTTCATTTCTTCGTCAGACATGGTGATGGTGTGGTTTGAGAGGTGCTGGATGAAGATGAAGGATGTAGAAGGGATTAGGGTCAGCGAAGTTGGGCTCTCAGTGCGGGAGACACGGCAGATGCCGATTCAGAGGCTCTCGCCACGACGCCACACCTAGCGCTCCTCGTCCTGCTCATCCACTCCGCCGACCCAAAATCTCTACGAATAGTCTGTAAGTTTAAGGGCATCTTGGGATAGCATTCTCTGTATGGTAAAAGTACTAAATATTGCAGAACATTGGACGGATCGTAGCCGAATTTTCGAGCAGTCGGTAGCAGCATTATGTGGTGTGGCAAGGTCTTTTATTTCTTCGTAATGGCCGCACTCAATCATTCCCATCTTTTGTCTTATCGTCTGCCAAAGATCTTCCGTAAAAATCACCTTGAACGTCTGAACACACTATGTCCCCTGCACGATGCGGTTTGATACACATACCGTCGTACGCGACAGAAGTCACCGATGCCGACGAAGAGGTGCGAGTATCTCATAACGCAACTATCATGTATCCAGTACTTACGACAAATTCGAATCAAGGTCTTCCTCCTTTACACTCGTCTAGCCTCCATTCATCCCGTCGACGGTGAGAGCAAGGAGCCCTTTCGTGGTCTGGGTTATCTCGACGGCAAATCCGATACGCTCACCGTCCGACTTGAGCTCAAGCCACCTACTGCCGAACCTCCTACTTCAAACACTTTCACACCTACAGGAAAAAAGAGTGGACGGAATAAGAGTCGGAGTGCCCATGGAAAGGCTAAAAAGGAGAATGATGATGGGACGAAGGTTATTGAGGTGGAATTGGCGCAGGATCGGACTGCATTGAGGAGTCGGAGTGGGGATACGGGGAGCGTTTTGTGGAGGGCAAGGTCAGTATCTTCGCTATCAGATTCAGTTCAGGTGATGGACTCGAGGATCTAATGAGTTTGTTAGTATCGACTTCGCGCGTTTTGTTCTTCAGCAGTATCATTTCCCTGTTTCAGACGGACTTTTCGACCCGCCAGATTTGGATAACGCGCATATCCTAGAGCTTGGGTGCGTGACAGCTCTTGAGTACATGGCGTACGATCTTACATTTACAGACTCGTTCTATATCATGCAGTGCCGGAACAGGCCTCTTCAGCCTCCTCATAGGCACACTCGTCCGTCGCTACACCGCAACAGATATCCCCGCCCTCGTTCCCCTCCTACAGAAAAATATACCTCATCAACCACCTTCGTCTTCTTCTCTCCATTCACACTCACATGGGCACTCGCAGACTCCAACCCGACCACACTCGATATCTGCCGCTGCCCTCGACTGGACCCTCCCCGTACACCGTCAGCTCCCGGACCCAGTCCTCCAGGACACGCCCGATATCCTCCTCGCCGTAGACTGCATCTATCACCCGTCGCTCATTCCGCCGTTACTGAAGACGATCGAGGAATTGAGTACGAAGGATCGGACGGCGGTGGTGATTGTTTGTGAACTAAGAGCGGAGGATGTGGTTAGAGAGTTCTTGGAGGGGTGGTTGAATCTGAGCACGGGGAAGGGAGGTGAAGTTGGCTCTAAATGGAGAATCTGGAGCCTGAGTGATGTAGAGGAGAGTCAATGGAATGAGGATGGTGGTCGCGGATTGGGGCCTAGATATGGGATGTGGGTTGGTTGGAAGGTCTGAGGTGAGCATTTATGATATTTTGAAAGCTTCCGTCTAACTTTGTGACTAGTGATTCGTTGTTCTCAAGTGAAAAAGCGTATCAAACTTTCTGTATACGTCTTCACTCGCTTCTATCAACGAATTATCTGCTAAAACATTCGGAAACGATGACCGTATCTCCTCCCCTACGACATTACCACAATCTAGGTTTGTATGAAACGTGAGCCTGTCTCTCCAGGTAGTCCATACCCTGGGCCAGACTGAGTACTTCGATGATGGCTATGGAAACTCAATGCAGAGGAGTGCGTGGTGGCTTTTGTCATGGAGTATCTGACCTGTCACCTGAGATGGGGAGAGATCTCAGAGTTTCCCATGAGCTATCTTTGCAGCTACTAACTCCACTGGGCCCCCCGTCATGTTCGCGGACACGACTGTTGTTCTTGTCAGTGAACAACGGTCTCAGTGGGACTCTTACTATCCGAAACCGGGCGATACCACACATGAAGAAGAACGGATGCTGGAAATATCTCTGTAAGTTGTGTAACCGTGCCCGCCGAATTGGGACTGACGTCTTTTGCGTTCTATTTGCAGCGTCATTTATCGCGATAAGTGGCCGAGGAGCATAGGGGCTACGCTGGTATATAATGCCAGTATTGCTCTCCTTGTCGTCTTCTTTTCGTCTCGCCCGTGCTATCCAGAGCGCTCGCCTGTTTCTCACAAGCCAAACCTCTGAGCGCCTAGTGGAGCATTGGCTTTAAATTCGAAGAGATGGCCGCTGCACCTGTCACTGAAACTGCGAGTGATATGTTTGCGGAAGAAAGACTAGGATGGTCTGGGTAAGTCAACCGTGCTTCGTGCCATTACTCCTTTCGACTGAAATATTCAATCTTGTTAGGTACGTTGAGTGGGAAAAGTACCCTGATCGCAAGGCCAAAGCCTCCGAGATCCTCAAGCAACATAAATTTACCGCCATACCAGGTCTATACAACTCTCACTACCGATATATACATATGTGCCCCGTCACTCATCCTCTGCATTTCCATAATCACAGAATTTCAGATGGGTCCGTTGCCCACTACGAACCCCGTCCTTGTTGGTCATCGCTGGAAAGAATACCATGAAGTCCTCGGCCTGAAGTCTATAGTCGATTTCAGCTGGGAGACCGTTCTCAAGGAGAAACCTGACCTTATCCATCTACTTGATTTCCCGTACAATGGAGAGACTAGGCGCCAGCAATTATTGGAAAACAAGGTGACAAGTAACAAGCAGCACTTGTAGGTTTTATCCCTCGCATTTCCACTGCTATCCTACGTATCTCTCTGAACTGTGCGTTTCTACATGTTGTCGGTATAGCATTCGTAACCACGGTGGAGTCCCTAATATTAATGCGGAGGCATACGAACTCGAGATTGGAGGGCTGGTGAATACGTCCGTAAAACTGTCCCTCGAGGACCTTCAGGACCAGGATAGATTCCCGTATGTTATACTTCGTATCAGCCATATCTTGGACGTTGACTAGATACGTATCCCCCATTTCTCTAGTCAAGCCGAGATCACTGTCACAATTCAGTGCAGCGGAACGCGTCGGATTGAACAAATCGGTCAATATCCTGGGGAGGGTGATGAATTAATCAATGCTCCTTGGGGAGAAGGTGCTATGTGCGTGAGCCTCAGTATTTAGCTCCTCTTACAATGTTCGAGATCGATGTCACTAACACCATGCGAAGTGGCACCGCAGTCTACCGTGGCGTTCCGCTCAAGAAAGTGCTAAAAATAGCCTGCGGTGGCGTTCTCCCTGAAGCTCAGCATCTTGAGTTCATCGGTGCAGACACGTACTTCAAGAAAGGCGATGTGTACAACTACGCCGTCTCCGTCCCGTGGCGTAAGGTCAAGCAAAACGAAGAGGTGTTGTTGGCGTGGGAGATGAATGGAGAACCGTTACCGAAGATACACGGATATCCTCTCAGGTTGGTCGTCGCGGGGTATATTGGGGCGAGGAGGTGAGTGATTTGGTTCTTATGTGAGATGTAGGAGGTATTTGGCTGATCGTCCGTAAACGGTGGTTATCTTGTAGTTGCAAGTGGGTCACAAGAATCAATGCGCTCACCGAACCAAGCCGTGGTCCTGTACAAATGCAGGAATATCTCTACTACTCTTTCCAGACCGGAAAACAGAATGCCATGACGTCCAATGGATTCTCCATCCAGGCCATGCCCGTTTCGTGAGTCGTTCTCCTCGATCCTCCTTCTATTCCCTAACAGTATCGACCCTTCTCATATTTCAGGAGCGCTATCATTTTCCCAGAGGACAAGAACCTGATCATGCACGACGGTTCTATCGAGGTGAAAGGATGGGCATACAGCGGTAACGCTTGCTGGGTCGAACGAGTGGAGGTTTCTCCTGACGGGTCAGTATGCCGTCGACTATCATCCACCCCTTCGACTTCACCTTTCGTTCGAGCTCACTGATACTTGACCTCTTGTAGAGGCCATGTCTGGTATGAGGTCGCCCTGGAGAATCTTACAGAGAAGCACTATCATGCTTGGCGGCTCTGGAAGATCGACCTGCCCGTGGACGCTGAAGGATGGATCGAGCTTTGTGTCCGCGCATGGGATTCGTCGAACAATACACAACCCACATTCGTCAGGTCTGCTTGGAAGTACGTTCTCTCTTTCTCCTACTCGGTATTCACTACAGAACGCACCCTCTTGCTCTCTACATTTCCTCGAGGAGTTGATCGTGAACATTTTGTTTCCTCGCCGTGCTATGCGGCGCCACAGTTGGGACCTCCATGTCACATCTTCTTGCCATCGTATCAAGGTTTACAGCATCAATAAGACGAGACCTGCCACACGCGCTCGGATGGCTCTGATGGAGGAGCACGGTATCATGAGCTTCGAGCCGTTGACACGTCCACTGGAATTCGCATTGGAGAGCGAGAACGATTATTTGGAGAAGATGAGGAAGAATCCGAGGGAACCCAAGAACTGAAACCGAACCGTAGAAGACAGGGGAAGACAAAGTGGGTTTTTTTGTAGATCGCTTGTGAAATATTTGGCATTATCTTGTGGTCTGTCGTGTTGCAAGTACTTATACCGGTAGGAAAATTTGAGTCAACAGCTGCGAGTGTCGCTAGGTGTCGCTCGAACCGTGACTGCGTCATAGTGACCACGTGGGCACCATAGATTGGCGCCATGGCGCGTCTAATTATAAGAACGCGTCGCGGCAACGACTTTGCTCTTTACCACCACCGACTCATCCAATTCTATGCACCTTTGAACATGTCCAAGGGCACTTTGTCTATACAAATGACTACTTTCCTCTTATTATAAGAGGAATAATATCTGAAGCCCGGCTGGGTTTTACTTCACGAGCACAGTTCTCCTGCAAGTTGTGCGGCGTTTGGACGCTGACATCATGACAATTTTCTTTGAGCCTCAGGCTACGGATTTTACTGGTTTGAGGCCCTTCTTCGTTCAATGGCTAATTTATGTCATACAACGACACACAATGCGCTTTCTCCAGATCGATATCTTGAAAGCCGCTCTCTAGGATTGACTATGCCATTTTTCGACATTCGGAGCAAGAATACTTCTGCAGTCGGCACGACGAAGATTATGAGACTCAGAGTACGGAATGGGGGCTATAGCTATAGGATAACAATTGCAAGTATATGGCGAGTGCGCTTCATCCTAGATGGAGGTCCTACTTGATTCACATTTGTACATTGCCCGCCAGGTCGATGGGTTAATCGTTCAGTTCACATCTCCTCCCATGGTGGGGAATACGTACCACTGTATGAATAGTCGGTAAGCGCGGACCAATCATGTCTCAATCTCGAACTTGAGAAAAGCTGCTAACTATAGATCTTTATCAGGCTCTACCTATCGGGTCTGTGGTCCTGCAGAGCGAGGGCCAGCGGGTTTCCCGAAAAAGCAACGAGCAGCCTGGCTGGCAAGTTTCATCTCTTCCCAGTCCCCAAGCTCCGCTCGCCACTGGCAACTTCAACTGGTGGTCTTCGCATGAAGATTCCTCATGGGTCACGTCGCACCCCTTGGGAGTGTCATCCAACTAGGTGCAGACGGGAGTGCTAGTGATGTATCCTTCCTGGTCATATCACCTGAGGCGCGGTGCTTGGACGGACGAGCTTCTCATGGGTCCGTGATTGCTCAAGCGCTCACGAACTGGAGCTGAAGGGGAGGAAGAGCGGGCCTCATGCAATGCTTTTGCTCCCTAGAGTAGGTCTGGCGACGGCCGCAGATTTAAGAGGTTCTCTCGCCCATCTATTTCCCTTTGAACCAGTCAATTTGGCTTCCAGTCGGTCCTGCATAACACGTCCACACTCGTGGATTGAGCTCATATTTCAGTGTCCAGTTGACGAATGCGGGGATATTGGACGTATAATGGGCGGTGTGCGCCGGCGTAGGTGTGATCTTGGGCTTCTGTAAGTGGGAAGAAACACGTAGTAGGAGTTCTGAAACTTTACGTATGACTTTGCGTTCTATCCCTTGGTAGTATCGAGACTAACATAGGTTCTATTCAGAGCGCGATAACCAGTACGCCACAAGACTTCATCTTCGTGCGATAACTCAGGTAGGGAGGATAGGATTTGTACACCGATATACTGTATAAAGGTTCGGTCAGTACTTCGCTGTCGAACATCTCCGTCATCTCTTCTTTCTTTCAATCTAGATAGCCAGCAATTCTCTTATAGCCTGTGCACTCCAGCGCTCCACAGGTCATACATTATCTTGAACGGTGGGCAGACAATATGTCCGCATATAATGAACTCATGCGATTCCTGTACGCGGAAGAGAGACAGGGATGGACTGGGTGAGTCTAAAATTGCTCACCGTCTTCACGCGAGATTCCCTTATGCCCGGATGCTCGAATATGAGGTCGAACGCTGATGTTATTGAATTTGAACCCGGTAGATATGTCGAGTGGGAGAAGTATCCTGAGCGTAAGGCCAAGGCCGCCGAAATACTCAGACGACACAAGTTTAGCCCCATACCTGGTACGTGTAAACATCTATATTTGTCCACACTGTTCCACACTAAGCGCTGACCGCCACAATCTCAGAATTCCAGATGGGTCCGCTCCCAACGACCAATCCCGTTCTCGTGGGCCACCGCTGGAAGGAATACCATGAAGCCCTCGGTCTGAAGTATATCGTGGATTTCAGCTGGGAAATAGTGCTCAAGGAAAAGCCTGACCTCATCCATTTGCTCGATTTTCCTTACAATGGGGAGACGAGACGAAAGGAACTGATGGAGAGCAAGGTGACGAGCAATCGGCAGCACTTGTACGCCGTATTCTTGCTCCCTTCTATGACTGTACGATGCCGATGACTGATCTAGAGATCTTGTATCTCTGGGTGGTTTTGCTGCTCAGTATACGCAATCACGGAGGGGTCCCTGACATCAGTGCAGACGCTTATGAGCTCGAGATTGGAGGATTAGTCAACATGCCTGTCAAGTTGTCTCTCAAGGACCTTCAAAATCCGAACAAGTTCCCGTATGTATTCACATATACATTGTCACTCTCAGCGCTAATTCTTCATACATTTTCGTTCTAAGGCAATCTGAAGTGACCGTTACCATTCAGTGCAGCGGTACACGTCGAATCGAGCAGATCGGACAATACCCTGGCGAGGGCGATGAGCTCATCAACGCTCCTTGGGGCGAAGGTGCTATGTGGGTTCATCGTACCTTTTTCCTAGCACTGTTTCGTCTCTGACGTCACCCAAAGAGGTACTGCAGTCTACCGTGGCGTACCCCTCAAAAAGGTCCTCAAGATCGCCTGTGGAGGAGTCCTTCCTGAAGCTCAACATCTCGAATTCATTGGTGCCGACACTTACTTCAAGAAAGGTGACGTATACAATTACGCTGTATCGGTGCCTTGGTGTAAGGTCAAGCAGAACGAGGAGGTGCTGTTGGCCTGGGAGATGAATGGAGAACCGTTACCCAAGATTCATGGATACCCGCTGAGGGTAGTTGTAGCGGGGTATATTGGCGCAAGGAGGTCGGTGGTTCGAATACTTTGCAATACGTGGCTCCGTGATCGGGTGAAATCAATACTAACTATACACAAACGGCGCAGCTGCAAGTGGGTCACCAGGATTAATGCACTGGCCGAGCCCAGTCGAGGTCCGGTACAGATGCAGGAATACCTCTACTACTCTTTCCAGATCGGAAAGCAAAACGCCATGACCTCAAACGGATTCTCCATTCAGGCTATGCCCGTCTCGTAAGTCCTCGACGTACTCATCTTACTGCTCGAGCTCTTTTGAAACCATGACGCCACAGGAGTGCCATCATCTTCCCGGAGGAGAAGAATGTCATTTTACACGAAGGGTCCGTCAAGGTACAGGGATGGGCGTACAGCGGTAACGCCTGTTGGATCGAACGTGTCGAGGTGTCGCCTGATGGGTAAGTAAACAGCTGTCACATCATATAGCCCTCTACATTTACTCATCCCTGTCATAGCGGTCACGCGTGGTACGAAGTTCCCCCAGAGAATTTGACTGAAAAACACTACCATGCGTGGCGACTATGGGAAATCGACCTCCCCATCGATGCGGAAGGATGGATTGAACTTTGTGTGCGTGCGTGGGACTCTTCAAACAATACCCAGCCAACGTTCATTAGATCTGCTTGGAAGTATGTTCCCTCGCTTCTCTTCTTTCCTGTGTGCCATAATTGTATCCTATCGTGCGGTTCGTGAATTCACATACTAACTACCCCTTCAATGGCTGGTCACTTGGCAGCTGGGATTTGCACGTCACATCCTCTTGCCACCGCATCAAAATCTATAGTATCAACAAAACTAGACCTGCCACTCGTGCTCGCATGGCATTGATGGAGGCGCATGGTGTAACGAGCTTCGAGCCGTTGACGCTACCTTTGGAATTTGGGCTGGAGAGCGAGGAGGAATATCTGGAAAAGATGAGGAGAAATCCCAGAGAGCCAAAGGACTGAGGCACTGAGACAATCAAATTTAGGAATACGCGGTGGAGGTGCGTTCTTAGAGATTGTCACATTGCTCAACACTCAATTGAGCAGGCTACTTAGTTACTATCAGAAATTAACATCGTATCATATATCGTACTCGTTATTTTCTTTTGCGTGATTGATCTCATTCCTCCTCATACCAAACGATTGCCTTCATCCCTTCGAATGGCCAGGCGGGGGGGCCACACAGCCCAAGTGCCACCAAGCGCCCGGCACAAAGGGCTTCTGGTTTTGGCAAGGCACGGTGGCGCTCGCTAGCCGGCTTATCGGCACCTCGCCCATAAAGCCTCTGCTTCCCGGCTCCTCCTCTCCTCCCTCCTTCACGCATACCACCATCTTCTTTCCACCTATCACTCGCAAACCATCTTATAACACGCAGTCCTCGTGCCGTCAAAAGCCACTTGCTATCAAATCTAGACCCCCTTCGGCTATCTCGACGCCATCCCCCTCAAACTCGCGCCACCCAGCTTCAAGGTTCAAGTGAGTGTTTGCATATTCCCGTTATCTTTCTCTATGTCTTTTCGTGCTCGTGTGTGCTATGGCAGATGGTCTTAGAGCTATCGAACGTTTGGGCAAATACTGCCTCATCTCCATCCTTGCCAGTGCAAGGCTTGAGCTTTGAAGTCGGCTATGACTATCGTCTTTGAACTTGGGGCGCAGGCTGCCTAGCTTAAGTATTTCATGTCATCTTCATAGCTTAGCCACTTCAGACACAAGGACAATAAAATGATCTATAATAACCAAGACTGTCGGCGGCCAGACTCGAGGGGCTGTGGTGGTTGATCGATGTCACCAGGGGTCGGTGGCGCACAAGTGCCTTTCCTCGAACTATTTCTTCGGATTTCATAACCCTACACTCCTAGTCGAGCATGAAATTTATTACAAACGCTTCGTTTCCCTTTAATACATGCGTATGCCTTTCATGAGATCTTTACTCTTTGTGACGCGCACGTTCATTATTCTGACTTCGAGATCGTGCCAGCTCGCTAACAACCTTCCATCTTACCTTAGGATATTATCCCAGCATGCTGGATCGTGTCAAGCCATCTAGAAACAGCGTCAGGAAGACCAACTCACCCCGCGCAATGCCATACAACCCCCTACAGTCGCATACGAGACTCAGCCGAAACTCATGCCGCGATGATCTGCGCCACCCTGGGAGATATGACCACTCAGGCCTCCCTACAAAGAGCAAATTATCTGGAACGGCAATACTCGAGAATGTTCCCAGGACGTTGAAAAGATTCCTCAGCATGGCGCGTCATGGAGGATCAAACCCTCGCCGAGCACATAAAGGGAACAACTCTCCAGTCGTGCGTGCAGCTTCCCCCATCTATCTATATCACAGCAGTAGTGATGTGTTGTATGTTTGGATGTTTATGGGGTAGATTACCAATGTCGATATCGAAATGACTGATTCCTCGAGCGACTCATGTTCGGATGAAGGAATCGTCAGCCAAGATGTCAATATGGTTGTGGTGCGTGTTCGTGTATCCTCGTCTTTCTGGCACTGTTGTGACGATGGTCCTTCTTTATTAGGATGAAGACATTGTGGTCTACCCCTCGAGCACGGACGCGGACGAAACTCGTCTCCCATCTACGGAACCTACTGTCAAAACCTTCGGCATCACTCATCATTTCCACCCTTTCATTCCGCCGTCGATCTGCGTTGGCAACAGCAACTCCTTACTATCTCCGACCTTGTCCACTACCCAACCCATCGATGTACTGGAGCCCGGTCTGTCTGGTGTGATTGACAAACCAGTCGCTCCGCAAGCCGCAGAGTCGCATTCCGCTGCCACCACTGATTGCATCAACTCGACAGCGTCAGTCGAAGACCCGCTCGTCTCGCCATCATCAGTACCTACGGCCACAGTCAATGTACACTGCGACGTTCCCCCTCCGTCACGCGACCACAGTGACGCGTCCACGGCCCACGAGCACGTGGAGGAGATGAAAGTTGCTGGGACGCCTTCCAAGACTGCCGCAGACGACTCCAATCGAACTTTGCCTTCCGCACCGGCACATGATGTCCCGACGGTTCCAACTGCACCGAGTAAACGTAAGGCTCCCACCATGGTCATAATTCAGAAACTTCCTTCCTTCCTTCCACCCGAGAATCGTCACCGGTTTCCTTGCAAGTATCGGACTGAAGGCGGAGAGAAGGTCGTCGTCCACAATTCAAGATGCTTGGAGGACGGGAAGGGTTTCGTCTTGCGTGGGACCACAAGGGTGAAGTGCGCATCGCTCCGCGAAGAAGACGAGGAAATCGCGAAGATCATGAACTCGCTATCCCTCTCCTCATCTTCCAAATCAAAGAAAACCCAGGCCTTATCAGAAGAAGGTTTCGAGGTCGCTCGGAGGGGAATAGAGAAGAGAGCTTCTCGCAGGCAGAGAGATCGGCCAACGCCTTATCAGAGCCACACCCCCAAGAAAACTCTGGATCAGCAGATAGACGTCATACTCGAGGGGACCCAGCCATTCTCATGGATATCCAGCAACGTGACGATGGGATGCACTTGGTCCGTAGGCCCCGACATGAACAGCCTCAGAGATGTCTCAGGTCGCTTTAGCGCCTCTCCAAGGACTCGCAAACGGGCAACCCGACGTACTGCCGCAGTCTCTTCCTTACCGGATGAATTGACAAACCAGTTCTCCGCCCTCAACCTCTCGACCTCATAGATGTCACTGTGAGTTCGTCGTACATTTTGAACATGTATACTTGTATTGATTTCAATCTCCAAGCAGTCAGCGTCTCCAATTTCTGTTTTCGCATATTCTTCTCATCTCCCTATCGTCGCTTTGAATCATATTGTTTGGCTCTGCTAAGTTCCTTGTTTGTCTGTCTGTTTGTTTGTTTGTGTGTTTATTTGTTTGTTTTGCTTTCGTATCTTGCTCCTCGTTCGACCCCGCTTGCTCTCGATAAATTGTTGTCTCGTTTGGCGGAATGCATGTTTGTACGAATCGCGAATTTCTATAGTTCAGCGCAGCCAGAAGTCCAAAGTTTGAATGTAATTATTGTAAAGTAATGTACACAACGTCTATCGTCACCAATTATCCTGCCATTCTACTGTACATAGCTTGCCAGCTAAGTGTCAAACTACACAGCAGCCGTAGGTACGCTGGTAACCAGATCAGCAGTCGGCAGCTATTTCCAGTCCTTTGAGCCAGCACCCAATGCATCACAATGGTCAGACCTGGGAGTGGCCAGCAGTATGAGGTCGTCACCAAGACAGGGAAGAATATCGGTGTTGGGAAGGCAAGTAAAACTCGTCTCGTCTCGAGCAGAGACAAAATCACTACCCTTGAGCGACGTGGCCTCCAGGGCCTGAGCGAGTTCGTCTGCCAGCATACGAGGCTCTATAGTAGGTGGTGCAGACAATGGCGTGACGAGACCTCCGGAGCTCTCAATTGTACTGTCTGTCTGCGCACTGGCCCCGGAATGCTGTTCGGTGTGGAAGAAAATTGGACGGTCAACGTCGAGCGTGAAGTATTCTTTGGTGGCTTTGACGTCTTCCGAGGCCCAGGCGATTTCTCTATCTGCCATATAGAAAGTGGGCATCTTCGTGATCTCTGATCGGATCTTCTCAAGCGACGGACGGCGTGCCGGGTCGAGAGTAAGGATATTCCTCACAAGTCTTTGGGCCGGAGTGGAGATGGGGATCCAGGTCTGAAGGTAGTATGGGTTGATGAGGAAGTTCCGAAACTCGGGGTCGCTGAGAGAGGCCTGCTCCCAGGGAACGAGACCGCCGATCATGAAGATTATCATGGCTCCCAGAGCCCAGATGTCGATAAGGTCGGAGGAGACGTGTCGCTCGCCAAATAGTGGGCCTGCACTCTCTATGATCACAACAATGACAGTTAGACAAGAGATAGATGAGGGAAATGGGATTTTGAACTTGCCTGGAGCCATGTACATCGAGGTACCCCTAGGGCACGAATAGCACTTGGCTTTATCCGTAGAGAGCCCGAAGTCGGTCAAGTAAACTTGAGACAGATCCTGCGAGCATATGATATTCTCGGTCTTCAAGTCTCCATGGTATACTCCGGCTGAATGACACGCTTCAAGCGCGTCGATAACCTGAAGAAGGACATGCTTCGTGCGCTCGTCGTTCTGGAAGAGCATCTTGTCCTGATGTATTGCGTCGTACAGATCGCCTCCGCTGGAGTACTGCATGACGAAGAGGAGATACGGCCCTTCTCTGAAGGCGCCGTGAGAGGTGATGATGTTGGGATGGTCGGAAACGATGGAATGGAGTTTGATCTCGCGGTCCTGAAATTTGCGTTCCTGGTGGTCAGGTGGCGCGCGGCGCACGGCCTTGACGGCAAATTCTTCGCGTTCGGGGGAAGTGGTGTCGACCGCTCGGTAGACGACGCCGTAGGTACCAGACCCAAGAACCTCTTCGATCATAAGGCTGTCGGCGACGACGGTACCCACGAGATTGAACCTGTCAATAGAGGGCATGATGAAAACTGATGGGTAGTAATGTGTAGGTGAAGGCGCAAAAGAAGTAGAAAGGCCAGCCAGATAAATTTGAGTTGATGACGAGAGTGGTTGAGAGGCAAGTGACAAGAAGACGGAGGCAGGAGATCGTCCGGTTATGTACCTTTCTGAGCTTGAGGTGGATGTTCCAGATGTGCCGCCTGAGCTGAGTTTTCCGCGTAGAGGCTGAAAGCCGCTCCGAGATGTCTCGGGGCCATTGCGGTCTCAGTTGACGGGGGAGTGTATGAGACAGAGTGGCGTGACGGCGCCACCCGAGTATCTCACCGTTGGCATGTAGCGTGTCGCTTAACAATACTGTGAGAAGTCTGGCACAAACAGAACAGAATGCGTTATACGTATAAAGCATATAATAAATCAAAAGAGTGGCACAAGACAGCGTGAGTGAAGGACAGAAGCCACGACCTGTGGCATTAGCGATATTAACATCGAGTGTTCACTTAATTTGCCTTAACGAACGAATAAATACGAGGGCTCCTCAAGCCGAGGTGGCGTTGAGGTATGGCTAGGTGAAGAATTATAATAAGCAACGGCAGGGTAAAGATGATGAAGGGATCACTGACAGCGCAGACGTCGTCATCGAAGTACGTCGCGGGATCTGCGGTGAACAGCCCGGCCGCGAGAGCTTCCTTGTAAGACCTGAAAGGCAAACATGGTTTAGCAGGAGTACATTTGAGTGTCGTTTTTGTAACGTAACACGAACCACTGCTTGTACTGGCCCACAATTGGATATGACTGTGCATCGGTGTCGATTTTCCAGTTCCTGCACGCCACGGTGGTCAGCAACTTGGATAAAATATAGTTGTGGGATACACGTACCAAAAGAGCCATCCACCTCCCCGAGCCCATGCCATTTTCTGAGCGTCACTCCATTTCTTGAGCCAGTCGTCGGTGGCGTTGAACCCCGTCGCAAGAGACCATTCACCTGGTTGCATCTCGGAGCGTCAGCGTTTGATTACTTTAGAATGCCATGAATGGAAGACAGCGTACCGGTGACCATAGGAGCGTTATCAACGAGAGCAGCAGCAGCGACACTGGTGTTATCTGTCTACGTCGTGAGCGTCTTGCGAGTTCGTTTAAGGATGTGGCTGGTACGCACTGCAGATGGTTGTCATATAAGAGTCTTCCGTCGCATTGGGGGCCACACCGCCAAAGTTGAAGTACAGATGATTGTCATAAATCTTCAAGTTCATCAAACGTCCATGAGCGGAGCTACAATCAGATACGAGAGGGACACCGTACCTGGGGGCCGATAGCAGAGTTTGCAGGATTCACGCCGCCAGTTCCCTGCCACCCTTGGTTCATGGTCCTTCAACAATAGTAAAAATATGCCCCTCCCATCAATATCCGTGGAAGATGCTTACTGCGTAGAAAGGCATTTCCCTTGACGGTCTCCACTACCAACGAAGGACGTGAGGACGTCTCCGATGCTCAAAGAAGTGACGTTCGACAGAGGGTCCCAATCGAAGGAGTCGAAAGGACCGATACCGTACTGGTCCGAAAGTTTGGCAATAATCGGGAGGGCATCCACGAACGCCGAGAGGGCAATAGAGTCGGTCACAGCACCCAAATCCAAAGAATCGTCGCAGATGATGTCCATTGAAGCCTCGATGGCGCGGATACCGTGGACGAACGCGGTGTAGACTGTGATAGCGAGCTCAACTCTGAATACCGAGTTCCAGAAAGGACAAGTTAAAACGTACAGTCACCAATGCCGGGAGTCTGGGTAGCATTTTGGGTGGGCTCGTTGACGGCTTCGATGGAGAATACGGTCTCGAAGGCGGGATGGGTATGAGAAAGGTAGGCCATGACGATGGACCAGGTAACGGCGCGCTTGTAATTATAGTTATCCTCAGAGTCGTAAAATTCGACCTGGGTAGTACAGTTCCCTGCGAACATCTGGCCGGCTAGCAGAACATGAGCAGAGATCAGTCGGATCGATGATGGCCACCGGAAGAAGTTAATGAACGAACATGAAGAGACACCCGGCAAGGCGTGGTGGTCGAGAATGACATTCAAACTGCAAGTGATACGAGTAAGTACGCGCAGGCGACAATCCAAATGACGTGACATACCCTGCATCCTTGAACATGTAGAGGCCACGGATCTACATGCGTTTCAGATCATTTATTCTCGAGGGGTCAAAAAATTAGACGCACCAACTCATCCAAACCACCCTGAGCGTACGGCTCACGGCTCTGATCTACAATATCCTCGACGATCCAAAAAGGTACGGGTATACGAACGGCGTTGAGCCCGGCGGCAGCAATCCCATTCACGTCGTCCTGCGTCAGCCATGTCTCCCAATCTACATTTCCCTTCTCAATAACACGAAGTGGGTGGAGACGATCAAGGACGTACGTTGCTTGAAGACAGCATTGGTCTGATTTCGGCCAAGGTACATGGCGAGGGACCATTCAGATTGGCGGCAGTCCTCGCAGTTACCACTCTCGCAGAACTCTCCGCCCATAGCGAGCCATTCCGTGGGGTTCATCCTATGATCAATTCGTTGGTCAGTATTAGACTGTAACATGAATGAGGACGACGTACCAGGGCTCAGAGACCAACCAGTTACCGAACTGAGCGAGAAATGCGCGGCGAAGGGTCAGCACGGGCATTAATGGCGAAGATTTGGCACGTACATTGACACCATAGAGTTTCGAGGTCGGGAGGGCACTGTCAATCGTACGGTTGGGGCCATCGGAGACAGAGCTGACAATGGATCCTACAGCCGACGAAAGGACGTTCGAGCTGAACTTTACGCTACCCGCCGCAGAAGGGCTAGCACCAGCGCTGAGTGACAATCTCCCTACCCCGGAGACGAGATTCTGGGCGGATGCGATCGTGGCGGCCGAGAGAAGGAGCGGAAGAAGAACGACCATTTCTCGTTCTCGAATAGACAGTACAAAAATAGACGAGGGGCACCGTCAAAACCCAGACAAAGGCTATGACCAGCGAGAGAGGGGAGGAGAGAGGGAAGGAGAAAAATATGGGTCCTTGAACCGGACGATAGTCCCTTTATACAGGCCCATCTCTAACTGAATGGGAATGTTGTCGTGGACGCCAGACATCTCCCTTCGAAGTCAGTCGATGCCAAGTCGGTGAAGATCGTAGCTTAACAGAGCCAACACGTCGTTTTCGAAGCAATGCAGCATCAGCTAAGTTGAAATTGCGGCGATCGCGTCCAGGAGGAGAATAGATTTGGTCCGTCTGATAGGGATTTCCGTCGGAAGCGTCGTCAGCCACGTCTTCATCTGAGAATAATGAAAAAGAAATGTGAGGAAGACTTTACGAACCTGGGCCTGATTAGGGAGAAAGAGAGACAGAGGAAGCTGTGGAGGCGGCAATACCGAGAAGGAAAGAGGATGAAATTGGAGAGGGAGAACCAAACTATGCCAGAGCTTTGGGAGAAATGAGGCTTGGCTGTGAAACACGATGTTGAACGTTTGTTGGAGCCAAACAACGTCGTATGGGGGGCATAAATAAGCGAAGCGCCCATACGGCGCCGGTCTAGAAGGCAGTACACGGGTGCATCATCACAGCAGGTTACGCCAGGTTACAGTAAGGAGCCTAGGGGTTCAAAGCTTATAAAAGCGATTATATACACCCTCGCTCGAAGCCGGAAAAAAAAACTTCCGCCGTCCAGGAAGGAAGGAACTGACGGGGCAAAAGCACAGATAACATAAGTAGTTTGGCGAGACGCGGAGACTTCAAAGCTTCGTATACAAAAATCACCTCACTCCACTCAAGAGTGGATGAAATCGACCATGATCTTTTGCACTTCCAAGTCGGGGCTGGCGCGAGGTTGAGCTGAGATCGTACAGCAAATCGCGTATCATTTGCGAATTGGAAAAGCCCTCAGAGCGATCAAAGATGGGCGGAGAAGAACCTCAATCTCACAGGTGATTATTCGACGGTCGTATTAGAGGCCATTTCGCTCCTTCCACGACGTCACGCGTCGCGGTAGGTAGAACCCCAACCATACCCTACGAAACCAACACTGGCGAGTTCCTCCCATCGACCAGCACAAGCTTCACATCCCTAAGAACCTGGATGTCCCTCTCTTCCCCCTGAACTTCAGACCACGCAAATTTCCATTCCTCGATCGCTCGTCTTATAGCCATTACCCAGAGCGCATCACAATAGATCTTGATATGATCCGTGATGCGCAACGACATATGGAAAGGATCGGGTGATGCGACCGTTGAAGACAGAGTCGCGGTCGAGGTTGACGTCGTCGAATTTGAAACAGGATTCGATGGAGATTCGGATGTGGTGGAAAGGACTGGGCGACTCGGAGGTTGCAATGTCGCTACGGGCTGGAATGACAGGGAGACTTCTCCGTAAGCGCCTTGTTGAATGGTCTCCTTCAAAAAGGACCAGAAGTTAGCAACCGAGGGTCGTGTCCATCCTATCTCTGCTGAGGTCCCGTCGGCTGGAAGGCCTTCTTCCAGCAGTGATGCAGGGGTGAGATCGTGTGGTTGGATAGAACCCCTGATAGGAATTATCCAGGACAGGCGAACGAATTCGTCGGAGAGAGTTTCCTCGATGGAAGCGGTCGTGTGTGGGCGTATTGAGACAAAGGCTCTGGCGTGCGGAGGTGGAGTCGGGGGTGCCGGAGGCGTGACCATGGGGAAGGGAACATAATGAGGCTGAAAATCATGGGCAGAGTTTGAGCGTTCATATGAAACAGAGGAGGAAAAATACCGTACGTAAGAAATCAAGGTGAACAGAGGCGATATGACTGCCTTTGGGCGTTTCCTGACTGGTTGAGGTGACGAAGACGATTCTCGAGATCGGGCCTTCAAGTTTTTCGACGAAACGCGAGACTGTCTTCTTTCGGTATCGAGTTTCGTGGTGAGGAACGGTTCAAGACCTTCCGATACGAATATTCCCGCAGAGCCAACGGTCTCTATTGGTGTGCCCCAAGGCAAGATATGGCCTGGATGCATATGTTCCTCATCGTTGAAAGGGGCCACAGCGGGAGGCAGTGGAAGATAGGCAAAGACACCCTCCCCTGTACCTGTGCATCTTTCTTTCAGACAAAGAGAGAAATAAAGAGTTTGAGAGTACTCACTGGTGAAGGAATACGATTGGAACTTCGATGAGGACACGGTACGCCAACCAGGACTGGCACACGCCATTTGAGCATAGTGACGGCCTTTCCTCAAGACTTCCAATTCTTGAAGTCGGCTTGGAGAGGCTGTAGCCGTAGTTTCTGAACTATTGTTCTCTCCGACAAATTCATGGACTTGAATTCGAGCATACGGAGCATCTTCCAAAGCAGCCATGGCTGATAAGAGCTATGGAGCGTCGTCAGTGAGTTATGCCATTCGCATCTGAGCGTATCATCCAGTTAAGCCAGCTTCACGTCTTGCTATGTCTTGAGCGAAATACGCAGAGAGATGGTTAGAATAACACAATTCGGGTTTAGAACAAGTCAAGAAAGTCAAGGAGGTGCACTGGAGGTGCATCACTCTGAGGTTGCTCTGAGGTTAAGGCGGAGCGGCGGGGATTTAAATGCCTTGGTCCCACATGGGCCACAATCCCCGCATTTGGCCTCCTGCTATACGCCACTCTTGGCTGCAACTTCCACCACTCGTGCTCGCACTCACAGTTGGATTCGATACCTCCGCGCAATATAGTCTATCTGTCTCAAATATATCTAGGACATTCTGGAGCAAATGAGCCATGAACAAAGATAACAAGGACGACTTCACTTTTGCTCGACTCTGCGACCTCAAGCTGCCAGTAACATTCCGAATGTAGGTCGCCGTAACAACCTTAGAGGCACGAGCAGTAGCTGATACCATCCAGATAGAGCTCAACTTGAGGGTACACGGCATCCAAGATCTTTCACAGAAATCATAGATGACCCAGAGCTGAGGTTTCATGGGCTACAATCCCAGTAAGTCATCAGAATGGCCTTGAGCAGGCGGTAGTAATTCTGACGGATCGAATATGTAGAGGACTCTCAGACCTATACGTCACCTGTCAATTAGTTGCGGACAATAAGCCTTTGACCATTCCGTTTCGGACGTCATTCAAGGCCTTCAAAAGCAACTACACGTGCGTCTCATCCGCCATATACCTCCTAATACCTCGTAGTACTTAACATCCTGTAATCTCGTGCATGTGTAGATGGAACGAATGGATCAGCTTCCCTATACGATACTGCGACCTTCCTCTTAGCTCTCAGATAATATTCACAGTCTGGGACATTGCTGGCCCTCGCGCCGCCACACCAGTCGGGGGCACGACGTTCAGGCTCTTCGGGAAGAAATGGTGAGCAAACTCCTCGAATAACATGGGTATGTGAGGATGGTTTAGGATATGTGTATAGGACCCTACGAAGAGGGAAACATCGGATGTTGCTCTGGCCTGGGAGGGAGGCGGATGGCTCGGTAGAAAGCACTACACCGAGCAAGATGGGAACGAGAGATGAGATGGGAAGGTTGGAGAAGGTGCATCCTATATTTACCGTCTTGCAACCAGGATTCAGTTCTGAGCCTTCTCTTCTTCCTTCAGTTGGTGAAGAAGTACGAGAGAGGAGACTTGCCCAAGTCGGATTGGCTTGACAAGATGGCCTTCAGAAAGATGACTGAAATTCATGCGGTACGTCTTACTATATCCGTTCTCTCTAGAAACAAAACTAACGCTACTCGTTTTCCTAGGCTGAGACTGAAAAGTCTGACAACCTCTTCCTCTACGTCGACCTGCCCCGCTTCGATTTCCCCGTCATATTCAGCGAACCTGTAAGCAACGCACCTTTTCCACTTTCAGCAGTAGTCTTATTCGCCCACAATGTATAGGAAGTGGCCGCATCGTCCTCAACAACTACGGTCGTCGCACCACCATCCCACCAACCGATCACTCCCTCAATATCCACCTCCTTCGCCTCTGACCCTTACCTCTGGGCAATACTAGACCCAGACGCACCGAGAGATAACCCCGTGGAAGACAAACATCGTCGACTCGTACGGAGTCATCGAAGCAGTCCTTACGACCGTGAACTCAAACCAAACACAAAGATACGAGACGAGCTGGGCGTAAGCATTTGCTGCCCATTATTGCGCCACATTCCCCACTAAAGTTGATTCTGTCTATCTTTCAGGTGATTCTCAGCTATGCACCCAGTCAAACATTGACCTCCGAAGAGAAAGACTTGATCTGGAAATTCCGGTTCTACCTCGCTCGGGACAAACGCGGTCTCACCAAATTCCTCAAGTCCGTGACGTGGCGAGACCCATCAGAGGTGAAGCAGGCCGTGGAAGAATTACTACCTCAATGGACAGAAATCGACACAGACGACGCACTAGAGTTACTTGGTCCCGGTACCGTCGATTCGCGTGTGAGAGCATTCGCCGTTAAGCAGCTCAGCCGAGCAGACGACGATGTAAGTCTTGGATTACCTCTTTTCGTATGCACGTAGCCCAGCGTGGCGACTGACTTGACTTGTACGTTGTTTGGTGCGTATAGGAACTCATGCTCTATCTGCTCCAACTGGTACAAGCTCTCAAATTCGAAAGCACGGCTAGCGATCAACGCTCTTCGCGGTCCACAGCTAGTGCAATCTCGTACGACGACAGCGGGTTGGCCGATTTCCTCATTTCGCGCGCGGTACAGAATTCGGTGCTCGGAAATCGGCTGCATTGGTATCTTGCCGTCGAGGTGGCGTTGGAGGACCGTGTTATGGCGAAGATGTACGGAAAGGTCATCTTCAAATTCCAGCAACGTATCCTGGATGTGAGTGCCTATCTCCTCTTCTATACAAGGTTGTCACGATATTTACGTGCTACTCGATAGTATGATAGTGTCAGAGGCAAAGAGCGGCGAACGCTTATGGGTCGGCAAGGAGAACTCATCGCCACCCTTGCCAAACGCGCCAAAGAGATACGCATGTCCAAAGATCCCCGTCCCAAGAAGATCGAGAAACTGCGCGCTTTCCTTTCCGACTCCAAGAACAATCTCAACTCTATGCCACCTCTCCCACTCCCTCTCAACGCCACAATCGAAGTAACAGGCATCATCCCCGAGAAGTCCTCCGTCTTCAAATCAAACCTCTACCCTCTCCTCCTCTTCTTCTCCTGCTCCGATGGTTCCGAGTTTCCGGTCATATTCAAAGATGGAGATGATATGCGTCAAGATCAACTCGTGATTCAGCTGTTCACGTTGATGGATAGGTTATTGAGGAAGGAGAACCTCGATTTGAAGTTGACGCCATACCACGTCCTGGCGACGGGTCCTTTGCAGGGCATGGCGCAGTTCGTGGAGAGCAAGACATTGGCGGCGATTGTGAGTGAGAGTGGGACGTTATTGAATTATTTGCGGAAGTATTGGCCAGATGAGGGGAGTGTGGGGACGTATGGGGTTGAGCCGAGTGTGATCGATACGTTCATTAGGAGTTGTGGTGAGTGCCCCTCTCCGTGTTGTAGGCTTCATTTCGCCCTCAATTTCGCTAATGAATTATCGCAGCTGGCTACTGTGTCGTAACATACCTACTAGGTGTGGGTGATCGCCACTTGGACAACCTGCTGCTCACTCCTGATGGTCAGTGCAACATGCTATTCTGTCTATATACCGTCACTCACCCGGCTCGTAATCATGTAGGCCACTTCTTCCACGTCGACTTCGGGTACATCCTCGGTCGGGACCCGAAGCCCTTCCCACCCGCTGTCAAAGTCTGCAAAGAAATGATCGACGCCATGGGTGGCGCCCAGTCCATGCACTACGCACGCTTCAAGAACTTCTGCTTCACTGGCTTCACCATCCTGCGCAAATCGGCGAACCTGATCCTCAACCTCGTCACCCTCATGGTCGACGCGAATATACCTGATATCAAGCACAGAAACGTGCATGAACAGATCCAGGAGAAGTTCCTGTTGGAGTTGACGGAGGAAGAGGCTATCAAGCAGTTTGAGACACTTTTGAATGAGGGAAGTTATTTCACGAAGGTGGTGGATCGGTTCCATGATTTGGCGCAGTATTGGAGGAGTTGAGTTGAACGGTGAGAATCTTGGGGTGTTGTAGCTTTTGGATTGTTCGTATAACTTATGTCGTGTACGAGTCTCGGACTACTCCTGTACCCTTATTCATGATGTTTTCATTCCACACCATCGGAACTACCCACGAATTACGGAAAAAATAATGAGAATGTAGACAATAAGGAAGTCTAACATACACGGCAGATTATACACAGCAGTACGATACGTGCAGTTGACAACTCGAGCGCCAGAACATACAGTGTCTGACATTACAATAAAAATAGCAATAAATGCCTTCTCTATAGAACCGCGAATGTGCAGTAATCCTTGCGCCAAACGGGGGAGCGTCCTTCCCCGGTCACGACTAATCCGAAGACCCACACAACCAGGCCAAGTTCGAGTCACTCCTGTTCACTGATTTCTTCCCCTTCCCCTTGTTGTCCTGGCTGGCTTTCTCCTTAGGCTGAGCGACCATGTCAGAGTCCTCTGACAGGTTGTGTGCTTCAGTCATGGTCCGACCCCAGCCATCCTTCGACGTCTTCCCCGGCTGCTCATGTGCACTGTAGAGCAGTCAGCGTCGAATATTGCAGAGGGGGTGACATCGAACATCATCACTCAGGCACCGGGAATACAAGGGCTCTCAGGCAGTATTATTTCACGTACTCATTCTTATTAGCGGTCCGAGCCCTTGCAGCCCGCAACGGATGGAACGCCTTCGAGGGTTCACCAACTCTCCTGGGCTCCTCACTTCCCTTTCGCCTCGCACTCCCAACCTTAGCTTTCGGAGTCTCTTCCGGACTCAGCCTGACTCCGTTGATATCCTTGTCGGTCAGTGTCGCATCCTTCTTGACCATCCGTGGACGGGGAGGGCCCTTGCGTTTCGGCGTCTGATCAGCAATAGCACTTTCGATGACCTCGACTTCGCTGGAATCGGTGACGGCGCGGGTTTTGGATCGTTCTGCGGTCTTCGAGAGCTCTATGCTGCGGCGAGAAGACGGGACCAAGGTAGACGAATCGTCCTCGCTCTCGTCTGTCGAAGATTCGTCGCGATAGGCAGATTGAGCTCGTAGGGACCTCTGGGGCGGTTGCGTGGATGGGGGTGGCGGTGGAGAGGAAGCCTCCGACGTAGATGTCGGCTTTCTGCTTCGTTTACTTACAGTGGTAGCGGCGCTCGCATCACTGTGCCTCGCACTATCCCAGTCGTTTTCACTGGCATCCGTCGTCTCTGTCGGTTTTTGTCGTTTGGCGATAGGTATAGGTCTCGGCTTCGGAGGACGTGACGCGGAGGTTGGGGCAGAGCTTTTACCTACAGGGCGTGCCATCTCTGCCTCGGTCGCGCTCTCGTTTTCGTTGCCCTTCTTCCGCTTCTTTCCCCTTGCGCCTGTTGCAGCACCTCCCCTAGTCGTATCCACTGACTTGGGTGGCCTACCCACTTTGGCCTTGGCCTTCCCCTTGCCCTTCTTTCCGGCAGTTCCATCCATTCCATCCTCATACATCCCCATCTCCTTCAATACCCTTTCCTCCACCCTATCCTCAACCTCTACCTCCGCCCTCCTCGCTCTCGCCCTCTCCATCACGATATCCTCCCCAACCCCACCCTCATCCACGTCGCCATCCACATCATCTCCATACTTTCCGCCTCGCCTCCCGTCTGGGAACATCGTGACTCCGTACGCGGCGCTTTCTCGCATCGTCTTGATGGCTTCCTCGGGCGGTTGACCCGTGTCTTCCATGATGAGCCAAAGCGCGGCTTCCGGGACGAGGATGCGTTGGATGAATTCGGATGGAGTGAAGGGCGCGATGGAGGGCGTGTGGAAGGATGTGGGTGGAAAGAGGTTGTACAGCGTCTGATGGATGACCATGGAGCCCAGTTCACCATAGCTACGAATCGCAATAAAATCAATCAGCTCGCTACCCAAACCCCGAGGCAGAGTGCATCGAGAAATGAAAAAAAAAAGTGGGAGATGAGAAAGAGACTCACTATCCAGGCTGTGTCTTCCCAAATGAATCGAACTGCCCCTTCACGCCCACGACGGCCCGACTCCCCAACTTCTCCACCTCGCCCTTCACCTCACCCCAGAACAAACTCTTCTCCCTCGCCTCCTTCATAGCTTCCTCCATCCCCTCTCCACCCCCGTCCACCAACCTCCTCAACTCGTCCTTCCGGCTCTCCACCCTCTTCCTCACCTTTCTGAAATCGATATCCGTGGGCCAGCCTTTGGCTCGAGCCTTCGGGGATTCGTTGTATTCGAATCGATGCCTTTGACAGGCGGAGATGAAGGCTGTCATGGGCGCTTTGAGCCCGCGGGGGTTTGAGGGACGGGGGTCCGGGTAGCCACGACGTTTGGCGGATGTGAGGAGGGATTGAAGTTTTGGAGTGGGTGTTGGAGGGAGGGGCTCGTCGCAGAAGGGACAGAGGGTGGAGGGGTCGATATCCGGGTTGAGGAAGTCGTCGAGTACTTATGTAGAGTAGAGAAAGAGCGTCAGTGAGCTGAAAAAGAGTAGATAGCGAGGATAAAAGATGGAACTCACGAGAATCGTCGCCGATGCCTTCGAGATCGTCAAGGCTGCTGCTAGGCATCGACGCAAGCACCGAATCGATATCCATCCCACCCAAGCCCAAATCTGCGGCCGTACTGGCTCTGACCACGCCTCTGCCCCCTGCCTCACCGTCTTCTTCCATCCTCCTCCTCTTCCTCCTCGGCGTCTCATCCGCTCCCAGAGTCTTGTACCTCTTGCTCGGGCTCCCAGCGTGCAACCGCAAATCCAATTCTCCCATCGGAAACGGTGCCAGACCATCTTCCCCGTCCGCATCCTCCTCTTCCTCGACGTCATTCAGATACTGACTCCGGCTCGGCTTCAACCTATCCTTCGCGTTCAGGTTCGCCGAGGATGACGATCTTGAGGGTATAGGAGACGAAAGTGGGGAGATCATGGTGATGGGGTTGGTCGCCGTCGGTTTCGGGAAGGTAGGCTTGCCGGTGCTCTTGGTTTTAGCCTTGACCTTCGTGGGTGTTGCCACTGGAGAGGGAAGAGCTACGGGGAATGCTGCAAGTGTGTCACTCCCCTTTAGTGACGCCTTGCCCTTACCCTTCCCGACCTGTGAGCTCGGCAACGACGCATCCTTGACGGGTGAAAGGTGAGCGAACGGAGGAGGTTTTGCTTCCGCTGAAACCTTGGCTTTCGTCTTCGCCGCCTTCGTCCGCGATGACGACGAAGATAGCTCGACGACTTCCACTTCATCAGCATGGACATCGCCGTGGACCTGCGATAAATCGGGGACGAAAGGAAAGTCGGCCGGCATCGGATGCGAATCTCGTTCTTCCTCATCGGTATCTGCATCAGCTTCAGACGCAGAGGACTCGATGACTCCCTTTCGCGTCGTCTTCTTCTTCGTCTTGCCAGTGGCTCGGTTTGACTTCTCGGAGGGTTTGGCCGTAGAACGTTGTGACCTGCGTGGAACAACAGGCGTCCTTTCCCTCGCGTCTTCCTCTTCACCTTCCTCGCCCTCTTCCTCCGCGCCTTCTGACTCAGAATCCTGATACCCCACCGTCTCTCGTATATTACGAGTCTTGGCCTTCGGCTTCGGCTTTGTCCTGGACTTGGATTCACGTTCGGGGGAAGGAGAAACCTGACGAACATCCTTCTTTGTAGGGCGAGAGACGGGCTTGGGCTTGGGTTTCGCTTTCTGCGTTGATTTCGATTTGTCGTCATCTGAGGCGGAAGGAGGGACGTCGTTATCGGAGGGTATGTCTAGCGCGTCGACCTTGCCCTTGCCTTTGCTCTTGTTCCCGGTGGAGGAGGCAGGTGGCTTCGTGAGTGGAACGGGTTTCGGTTTCGATTTGGACTTGGACTTGGACTCGGGCGCGTCGGAGACGACTTGGACGTCACTGTCGTCGTCGCCGCTGTCTTCGGTGTTTTCCTTCTCCTTATGTCGGTTCGACGAGGACGCGGCCGATCGAGTACGAGGTTGCGAAAGTGGCGGTGGTGGTGGCGGTGGCGGTACTGCGTCTGGAGAAGTCGAGCGACGATTTGTGGTGACGGTGCGGGAGGGTTTCGATCCAATCTGAATCTTGCGTGGCGTCTCTTCTTCCTCCTCCTCCTCCTCATCGCTAGAATGGGGTGGCGAGATCCCAGCTCTCGCCAGAGAATCCGGCCAGGCCGATTTCGAGCTCGTCCGACTGAGCGTCCTCTTATCCTTCCCCTTCTCCTTGCTCCTCGCGTCTTCCTGAGCTTTATTCTCCTCGAAATCGGTAAGCTCCACGACCGTCTCTCCTTCCCCATCCATATATTTTCCTGCATCGTCCCCGTCCCGACGATCCCTTTCCCTTCCGCCTCGAACATGAATGTCAGACTGCGTCCTCTGTATGGGCGACGGACCGGGCCATGCCTCTGGTACCTCCTTCCCCTTTCCTCTATCCTTCCCTCTCGGATCAGACTGGAACCTCTCCTTCGAGAACGGATTGAAGTTTTTCTTCTTGGTCTGTTGGCGGGTAGATGGTGGGGAAGGCGAGCGGGCTTTGTGGTTGTGCGCTAGGGATGAAGATGAGGGAACGGGGGGGACGTAGCCGTTGTCGTGTTTCGACATGGAGGAGAGGAGGCTGCGCGTGTTCGTGCTAATTGTCGTTGAATTGTAGGGATTTGTGGACGGGGATCGTGACGAGGGTACGGAGATAGGTGTGGTTTCTGGAGGTTTGGTGGACGCGTCGGCGGCGGGCTTAGGCTTGTTCTTCTTGAAATTTGGGAGCGGGGGACGGACGTAGTCCGGATGTTGTTCTATCCATTGACCGTTGATGAATTCGAGTGACGGAGCGGGCTTGAGCGGCTGCTTCTCCTTCTCCTTCCCCTTCCCCTTCCCAATCCCCACCTTCGTACCACCACCAGTACCAACACCACCACCACCGCCAACACCAGCCTGTCTTCGATTCTTCTCCCTCACTCTCTCCCTCTCCTCTCTGTCTGACCCAAAATCGTTCCACTCCCCCTGTCCCCCGTCTTCCACCGGTCTGCTCTTACTCTCCTGCGACAACAACAGCTCGTCGTCCGACGAATCGAACTCGTTCGCTTTCGTATCGAAGGGATTGCTCTTATGCTTCTCCAATCCCCTTCCAGGCTTTCCCTTCCCCGTCCCTTCCCCTCCCCCCAGCCCCTTCCTATGAGCACGCGAATTCACATCCTCCACGACCTCCATCCCGTCCGACTCTGACTCGAACTCATATTCATAATCCAACCGAGTCTTCGTTCTCGTCCTGGTAACATGCGGCGGCGCGACCCCCGCCCCGAACGCGTTTCGTTTTCCGGTGGTGTATCGCGTGGGCGCGGTGAGCTCGTCTTCGAGGCGTCGGTCTGCTTGGGAGCGGGGCGGGCGTTGGGAGGGTCTGGGTTGGGAGGGCGGGGAGGAGGAACGGGGTTGCGAGATGCGCATGGTGTGGTCTGTGGTGAGGGATGTGCCGTTGCGTTTCCAGTGTTGTTCGAGGCGTTCCATGGTCGCCTACCCTACAAAGATATATTTGATGACGCAAGAATGTGGGCGGTGAAAAGCTGTCAGGACGTGCGTTGGCGCATATAAGGGCGGACGTACGGATAATTTGTTACGATGCTACGATGGCTCGATATATGCGGTGTTCCGAAAATAGACTTTGCCTACGATTAGCTACAAAGAAAAAACAAAGAGACAATGAGTACCATGTTGATAGGTTGTGTAAGGACATAGGCAACAGAATATGTATGAGCCCGTCAATTTGCGAGCAGTGAGCCGCCCCATGCTCTGCACTACTGTGGCGACATCACCGTCCAGATGTCCGACGACGCGTATAGACACCAAAATAACTCGAACAGTGCCAAGATATGGCGAGACACTGACCACAAGCGAGCTAGAGTGAACAACTTGTCGACCTATACGCGACGCAAAGCGGCGAGCGCAGACAAGACCGTGACTGACCGCCCGTCTCTAGACTCTAATAGGCGGCTGTGAACAGACGCCGACCGTCAACAAACATTCAATAATCTGCGCACAGGAACGTACCGTTCAAGAGTGCGAACCGAGGCCGTCGTAGCCGGCGATGTCGCGAATGTTCTGCTCGTCGTGTCCGACGATGATGACCGTCGCGTCGCGAAAGTCAAGGACGAACCCGTGACCGTGCCGGACTCGGGACCGGAGCTCTGTTGACTCCCGGAATTGTGGCTCACGACGTTCATCTCGATTTGCGCCTTCACATATTCCACGGAAGGCGATAAATTTATTTCTTGGGCTTCAAGGCTTTGTACTCTATTGATAACAGGTCCTTTGTATCACCAGAGGTAAGCAATGATGGAAGATTATTTTTGGCCTGCTACAGACAGTGTGGCACCGTCCATGCCACTAATTTTGTGGCCCACCCCTCCATGTAGGCTTTCAGATAACAAGCCATATTAAAATAATGGACAACATGGTACATGCATCTATTCTGTCCATACCTTCAGAAATTATATTCCAGATATGTGCCTTTCTCGACGTGCGAGACGTGATCAGCCTTCGTAAGGTGCTCTCCTCGCCTCCGGATGTTTATCTTTTCACTATCCAAGCATTCCCTGACCACCTGTATATCGTGACAACCCACAGACATGCCGTCACATTTTCTCTCTCTCGCATGACAAAGGCCTCTGGCTCGACTTCCTCCGACACCAACAGTCCTACCTCCCCCTCCCCTCCTCCGCTCGCCACACTTCCACATCCGCCGCCCTATCCTCTTCCTCTATAGAACATATAGTCATCTCCGCACGTAAATCCCAAACACGATGGTCCCTCCCGCGTTCAAACTCGGGTGTCAGACCGTTGCAGGGAAGTCCGGATGGGTATCAGGATATATTGCATCTGGCGTTGGTGCTCGATAGATGGGTGCTTTGTGTTTACAGTTCGGGAAATGTGGTGCTCTGGGATGGGGATGAGGTTGGGAAAGAGGAATATGATGAGGGGAAGAGTGGAAGTGATCCGATGCCTGCGGTTTGGGAGCTTTGGGGGAGCGAGCCTTGGACTTCAGCTATAGCGGTTGCAGATCCTGACGGCGATGCGATATACGTCGCCGTAACGCGAGCACAGAACAGGTCACAGGAAGGGTATGTACTTATATTCATCTATTCAATATGTCACTCTTATGGTTGCTAATCCACCGATAGTTCAACCACGGTCCTCATGCGCATCCCACTCCCCACCTCCTCCAGCTCTTCCGAGTCCCCAACACCCCCTTCCAATCCAATGCCAACGTCAACACCTCATCCTACCACAAACGAACCACCACCACCACCACCACCGCCCCAAACCCGCTCTTCACCTCACTCTGAGTCTCATATCCATACCCATACCCTTCCCGACCCGTCCTCCCAATTCCACGACATCGACACCTTCTTCGGCCCCGACGCCCAATCCCTCCGCGTCCTCGACCCAACACACCACCTCCTCGCCTTCTCGCGCTCGACGCTCATCGATATCGTGCATTGGCCGAGTAACACGGGAATGAGTATTGATACGCATTCGGAGGATTTGGATCAATTGGTACGTGGGGTTGTCCATCTATATGTCGTGCGAGGAGGACTTATAATAAATGGCGTATTGTTTGTGATATGTGTGCGATAGTGGAACGGCATCATTGGCCTCCAATTCGTTTACTCTCCCCCGAGCCCTCAAACGACACTACCCCCTCCAAGCCCAGGTGCAGGTCAATCACAGCCTGAATCGCTGTACCTCCTCTGCATCAAAGCCCGAACACTCGAGCTCTACCCTCTAACCCTTCCTTTCGCGCCCCATTTTTCTTACTTCGTCAACTCCGCACTCGGACCGCTGCCTAGTCCGTCACCCACAACAACCACCAGCACGTCGATCCCGTCCACTTTCCTGCCGATTCAGAATGATCATACAGAGCTTCGTTCCTCATTCACTTCAACCTCAACCTCAACCTCAACCTCAACCTCATCCTCAGTCTCTACCCCCACTTCCACGTCCACCTCAACTCCAACCACGACTCCGCACGAATCTGCCTTTTACCACGAAGAAGAAGAACACAAACATGAGCATCTCAAACCCAGCCACTCGCGCACAACACCCGGACACGGAAGACTCGGAGGAAGCGCACGAAAACCCGTCCGAGTCGCTCCCGGAGCGAAATATGCGTTCCCGACCACGACCTTCCGCGGCGTCTCCATCTCCTCCGTCTCCTCCATCTCCGTCTCCACAAGCTCAACCACTTCATATTCAGATTCGGATAAGTTGGAGGAGATAGAGCTGTCGTTCCTCGCGCATGATGTCCTGCGGGGAATATTTCATTATCGAGTCGTGGTGTCGTCTCCGGAGGCTTTTTCGTCGCACGGCAGGTTGTTGGGAGAGGGTGGGCCAGTGCCGTATGTCGATATGTGTGTCTCGCTCATCGGGATGTATAACATGGCTCGATCGCATCCACTGCACGTCCCTCGTTCTCCGACAACCTCATCCACTGCCACCACGTCAACCCCTTCCTCATCCACCACCTCAACGCCCACCCGCCCACACTCACATCGACAACTAGGAAAAGCAAAAGCGCGCGCCCGCGCACCGGGGTTCATAGGTGCCGCGGCTCTAGGTCCACAGGGAATGAGAGGAGTATGGGTAGAAAGGACGAAGAGTGTGCCTTGGAGACGGGTCGTTGTGTTTTCGGCTTATAGATCGAGGGCTCTTGAAGCTGAGTCGGAGGATGAAGAACGGACAGAATCGGCGGGCGAGGGCGATGGTGGGGGTGAGGGCGAAGAGACCGAGAGTGACAATGACAGTGACGGAGAAGATGATGATGAACTGTCATGGACCGCCGCAGCCGGAGGCAGACCGGCCCAGATCGATGCGAGAACGGTGTATGAAGTGCATTCGTATGATTTGAGAGGTGCGTTTCGCCTACCGCCTTCTCCTGGCTCCTCTCCATCACCCCTTCCACGGAAAAAAAGACATGACTTGGGAGAAGCGGCACTGATGCGTTTCTGTTTCGGGTGTGGCGTAGAGGATCTTCTACACGTCGCGTTCTCAGAAGTGACGGGGCGGATCGTGGTTGGGACGCGGGCGGGCGGGGTTAAGGTCGTCTAGTGACTGGGCTTACTTATGGGCTTTCCGAAGTCAGGCCTTAGATCTCGTTAGGTCGCATTTTGCGCTCTGTAGATGCATTCATTTGCAGACGTCGCTATCAATTTTCAAACGTGCCCATGCGATTTTACAGCCCGAACTTGTGCAGGGGATTAGGGCTGCGCCACGACGTCCGGATACCCAGCTTGTTCGCTGGATCTTCGCAATGCTGAAGTAAAACTGGCGATTTGATTCGTTCCCCTGGCTCGGGGAGATCAGCGTCCTATCAGTGTGGCGTCGGATGGGGTACGCGGTGCGTGGTACATAATTGAATTCAAGTTAAACTCGTACATGGCTCACGAGTCCCACAGACGCGGGAGTGGCTATAGTCAGCGGGCGCAAAGCGCTCATATAGAGTCCCAAGAAGTGGACATCCACATTTCCTGGTAGCCAGTCTCGTCCAAGACATCAGGCCGCCGATCCTTGTTATATCCATACGGATTGGGTAAGCTCAGCGGTGAGTCACTCAAGACTGTCGACTTCGAAAGTCTACCGTCTCTCTCGTATCTTTGTCCTTGTCCCTACCAGCCTCCTCCACCCGTCTTGCTCTCTCAAATTCGTTGCGACCTGCGTATGTCATGACTTAATCTTTTTTCGTCTTGTTTTGAACGTACTTGGCCTGCTTTCTGACTCTCAAATCAGCCGGTACACTTGTAGACAATTTTGCGAATCGCACGACCATCAGCTCTCGAGCCCTCAGGGTATATTCCGGTACGCCTCCCGTTTTTGTCTGGAATCCTGTTCACGGGCCTGAATATCCGAACATCTTCAGGACCACTTATGGCGTCTAAAACTTGGGAGCCATCGACATGGACTAGTATAGTGATCGCTTACCCTCAACCGTGGCTCAGCTTCGATGGGAGGAAGATATACGGCAGCCATAAAATGAGCTCCAGGACGAAGGCAAACAGTTTCCATCCATGCCTGTACCCAATAAGCACTCGCTGCAGGCAATGGACCACCACTATAGCATTTAGCGCGCTCGTCGAGAACGTCGTCGAGGGCATCCTGCAATGGGAGAGTCTGAAACATCACGAGCTTTGCGTCGAGGAGTACCGCGACGGAGCACTGGTAGAGGCGCCCGGCGAGTCCACTTCGGCAGGAGAGTCCGGCGCTATCGAAGGCCAGACAGTCGAGTTTTTTTTTTTAGAGTTGATTGTCCTTCCCTAGCAAGCGATGATACAAAGCGCCATCGTCTCGGATACATCGCGTGGAGACCGCGTGAAGATGCTCCTGATTATGGTGATGTCGAGCTGTATAATGTTGGGGAGATAACTGGCGATGCGGTATGGAACATGGGGTTCACCACGAAGTCAAGGGACACCGATCTCGCTGGTCAATACGGAGAAGGAGCCAAACTCGGTAAGCATCTCTGTTTTGCTAACTTATATACATTTGTTCCAGTGACTGACCGCTTTTTAGCTGGAGCCGCCCTGTTGAGGGGACCTTCGGAAAGTTTGTTCTACCACAGTGGGAATGAGACCTGGGATTTTACCATCCTGGACTCTGATAGATATGGATATTACACTAGGGAGGTTGATCAATACTTGGACGGCGTGCTGACACAAATCTTGCTTCTTCCATGGGCCGACACGGATTTCGACCGGTTCTTACTCCTTCGACCGCCCATATCGACGCTTCCCGACACATCGGCTGGTCGTGTCAAGGCCAAGCTAGGATGGGTCTTATTGGACGAGCGTCATCATCACAAGATTTATGTATGTTCTTGACGTTGATCTGTTCGTATGCAGCTTTGGAGCTGACTGAGGGATCCCACGTACACAGGTCAAGGGTATCTTCATTCGTGCGGAAGATGATCCTTCTGTTGGTCTCTGCTGGGGGTACAACTTTGTCCACGGTGTCGATGTGAACTGTGACCGTAACGCGCTGGTCAATAGCAGCTCGCTATCTACAGTGATCTACAAAACATGGAAGCCTCTGCTCCTGACTTCATCCCAAGCTCGACAACACTACATCGACATGCTATTCGACCACGAGAAATGTCTGGACGTTTCGGGGTTGCGAACCTGCATCACTCGCCCGGTGGCGGTCGTTTTATTCAAGGCCTTGAAACAGAAGTACGGCCCGAGGGCCTTCTTCTACTATTCCGCTGAGACAACAGAAGCCAGGCGCATCATCGAGACGTCCTTGAAGAGGAGGCCTGTGTTGCTGAAAGAATTATTTTGGGACTCCCTTCGGCAGTGGCCCGGTCTGGTCATGACGCCGTCGGAGGCGAGGCAAAAGTGGTTCCGCGATCTTCCTGAATATCCGATAGACGTCTCCACTAGAGCTGAGACAGACATTCTGCATACCGTCCGCTCGTTTTTGCTTTTGGACGAAAGGACGGAGCGTTTTCTCGACCGTTGGGTTTTCAAATCCTGCCCCGCCGATTCTGGAGACGTCGAATGTTCGATTATGCCTGGCGGCGAGCTTCACCTTTCCGATCGACTCCTCAGACCGGAGTAAGTTCTTTTGTCATTTTATCTTTCGTCTCCCACCATTGATTAGAGGCAAAAAGATACGTCCACAGCAAGCCGGGCTGGTCCACTTGTCTTATGCACAACGCACGCAGTCGAGGAACAGATTCAGCCGTTGTCCAATGTCACTGTGCCACCCTCTACATCGGCGGTCTAGTCGTAGATGAAGTGCAGGAGTGCAACGCTCACGAAAAGGATGCACTCAAAGTCACACAGCGCAATTTGGTGTCTCAGATGCCACGCCACGTCTCGTTTGTTTTCGACGAATCCGAAGAGAACTCTGACAGTGTGGTGACTTTTCGATGGGAGGCCGCGATGGAAATGTCCGACTTCATTCTCTGGATCCGACCAGCTGAGGATCATAGTGAATCCCAGTCGCCTTACATATTCCGAGCTTCCGACGACGCAAACCCTGTGGATAACACAGACGACGCAGACATGGATATAGACGACCAGCCACACGATGAGCGCGGCGGTTATCGTGCGACTTGTCAGTTCCATCCCAGTTCTATAGTATCATATGGTCACGACGGTTTACTGATCCTCTTCATACCTAGCACGAGGGTCTGAAGAGTTCACTTCAGTTCACGGCAACTCGATAGACGTGCAGGGATTCCAGCCCGCCGAGGTCTACACAATCCAAGTCAGAAGAGACTGTAACCTTGCTATCTGGAGCCCCCCGATCCATCTCACTATTCCCAGTAACATCACTCGGTCTGCGTCGTCCTCTACATCAACTCCTCCTATCGAGAACACGACTCCTTCCCGAGGTTCATCCCCCGACGTCACGGACACGCATGAATATCGGACACCAAGTCCTGACGTCCACGGGGGCGCCATGGTTGCGAATGCGGAGAGCCTTCCCGGTGCGCGCGTGGGCCCACGACAGCCTACACCACCGGGGCCAAAGAAAGCCCAACCCGAGTCTCCGAGTAAGAAAGCTGGCACAATCCAACATTCGGAGGGCGATCCTGCACTCAAATCTCAGGACGCCATCACCTTCTTCAACGATCTCGTAGCGTCTCCGCGTCAGTCCGCCCTTTTTCGCGCCGACTTATCCAGAACCCGCATGCGTATAGCGAGCCGACCGAAGCGTACGAAACGTACCCGGAAAATCAGTCACTACGCAGAACCTGTGGCTGTCGGAGGGGAACAGGGTGACGGAGGTGACGCTTTTGAACCGGACCCAGACGAGATCGCTGATGATGGTGAGGCCGCTGATGATTACGAATATGAGCCGTCGGAGGACGATCAGGACGATCTTTCAATCTGGAAATTGGGCATGGACGAGGTAAGTTAATGCTTTTCTGCAAACCGGATTCTCGATGGGCTGCTCTGACAGGCTTTCCATTTCCCCAATATAGACTATCGAAGGCGATGAAGATAACTCAATGATGGTCGAAGATGAACCTCCTGCTCTGGCCCATGCTCGTCCTTGCCCGATTGATGCCCGGAAGCTTTGTGCCGGCCACTCCTATGAGATATCGTTCCTCCACGGTCGCAGGAATGCACGGAGGTCAGCGATTATACAAGTTCTTGAGAACGCTACGTACGAGGGTACATCGAGAAGCAAGGCCACCCTACGTGTGATACGTTACATTCATGCCTCGGACTATTTCAAGTCGACCCCCCTCCCTAACCCCCAAGGTCAGGTCATTCTGCTTCATCAAGAAATCCCTGAGGATGGGATCATATGGCGAGCATTGGCTGAAGATTTCCCATCTCACTCCATCATCGAGGCCAAAGAGGTGACCATCGTCTATCCAGAGTCATCTCACATCTCGCACGAACCGCCAGCACCAGAGGGAGAGCTTATGTGGTACATCTGCCATTGGACCATGGCGGCAGACGGGATAGAGGACCAATCGGCTGCTATATATCGCCTCCCTCCTGGACCCGACTGGGCCGATATTCTCGTAGTGTACGTTCATCCCGAGGTCGCGGGTTTACCAATACTTCCACCCTACGATAATCCATCACTATACGAGAATCCATCGACGTTGGATATATTCGCAGGTACTGGCGGCAGTTCTAGAGGATTCGAGGATGCTGGGTTCAAAATTATAGGAGCCGTCGAGAACAATCGTGATGCCGCAAACAGCTGGAAGGTAAGCTCGCCCACGTTTCATTACATTCGATGTGTAAGCTTACTCAAGGGCTGAAATCTGTTGTGAACGTGTCTGTTTTATGCCTTAGTCTAATTTTCCCCATGCTGATATCCATTATGAAGACGTCGAAATATTTCTAAACAACCTCAGCTCTGATACGATCAGGCTCTCAAATCAAGTGACCGTCCTTTTGGCTAGCCCCCCTTGTCAGCCGTTCAGCAAGGCGAATGTCGGTCCCATAAATACGGACATAAAGAACATAGAGCAGCTTCAGATGGTCGCAAGGGCTGTGTCGATACTGAAACCCGCCTACCTCGTAAGTTTCGTGATCACTACAAGAATTTAGTAGTGTGTTCTAACTGCCACTCTGCCCTCCGCACCGGCTCATGCCTTCACAGTTTCTAGAGGAAGTTGACGTACGTGACTTCAAATATCCATTCAGTGCTGCATTAACGAAGCTCCCTCTAGTCGCTTTTGCATCCGGCCCATCGAAAATATTTTGAAGCTCTATTGGTCGCGCTTCTGCAGATGGGGTATTCCATCAGGTACATGGTTCTGAACGCAGCAGATTATGGTGTTGCAACTACGCGCAAAAGGTTGATCACCCTTGCCGCTGCTCGAGGTTTATATCTGCCAGCCAGGCCCAAGCCAACTCATCGAGACCCGGAGTACGACTATGAAGAACCAGCGCCTTCGCTTCTTTATGTGACTGTCGAAGATGCCATACGGGACCTAGAATGGCGGAATCCCCGAATCGACGCACGGGCTATCGAGACGAAGAAATACAAGACGTTGTGCAACATACCGCAAAGCACCAATTGCCGGGAGCCAAGCGATTATGCACTTTCGCTTGGGCGCCAAGCGACCGGGCTTATAAGCCATCACATAACTGGGAGGAAAGCAAATGAGAGTTGGGACCGTCAGCGAACCCTAGGCGAATACAACAGACCGCTCACTAGTACGATCATCATATCGATAAATTGTCCGGGTCCGATACTCACTGACGTCTTCTCGTTTTAGCCATCTTGACTACTCCGACCAATCGTTGGAAGTGCCGCCATCCTCGTATGGTTTCTATGAACTCTGCTTTATGTTCGCTGAGAAGCTGACCATCATGGTGATCGCCCACCTTAAGGTTTCCAAGACCAGATTATGTCTCCTCGGGAGCTGGGTAGAATTATGTCATTCCCTGTGAGTTACAACGGGCCATAGATTTATTACGACAGTATATTCGTTGACAAGAGCTCTGCTATAATAGGACCAGCATCGTTTCAGTGGGCTCCTTGGCGCACAGTACCGTCAGATTGGAAATGCCGTCCCTCCACTGCTAGCGAAAGCAGTGGCGCTGGAGATTCGCGCGGTACTTAAGAAGCTGAAGTACAGGTTAGAATATACATGGTCATCTCAAGCTAGTACTGCAAGCATGGCCGAAGACGAGCATGCGGAATCCCAGGGTCGAGCGCAGGAGAAACGACGAAAGGTGACGCGTGATGGACTTGAAGAAGCTGGAAGGGCGAAGAAAAGGTTTCGAGCAGCGTCGGATCCTTGAAGTGTTTAACTTACGTGACTAGAATACTAGTAGACGAACAATCGTCTAGGATACTGTAGTTTTTCGCGCACAAGTTCGTGTCCCGTGTCCCATGGGAGCCGCGAACGAACTTGTGCCGCGGGACAGTCCCACCCCATTGACGTGCACTGAACTTATAAATGGGACAAACCAAAATTTGACGAAAATTTAACGAAAATGCGAATATACTCTAGGCTCCTAAATTGACCTCAGGAAGGCCCCCACGGCACACTTTGGGCTAGATTTTACTACTGGGTGAGCTCTTCCACCCCAATGCAGAGGATGAATGGCTGTTGAGCAGTTATGAAAGGTCGTATTCCTGAAAAAGCGTTGATGTTCACGAACATTGTCCCTTGTCCCGGTCTGCTTGCGAACCGGGACGCGAACGGATTATGTCATCTCGGCAACGGCCGAGGGGCGGTGGCGTGAACTTGTGCGCGAAAAAGTACAGTAGCCTCAGCGAGCCTAGTACCGATCCCCAAGAACATCAGACCACACTGGACCGACAATGGTCAACGTTGGCTGGATTGATTCTAGACGAGACTGGCGTGAACTAGCTATTTCGTCAATATTTCGTGTGGCGAAGACACAGTCGTGGGTAGAAACGCGGTAGGTAAGACAAACAGAGAAAAACAACGCGCTCGCGTCATGTTGAGAAGCCACGCGACCCGGCCGAAAAAGTTTATAAAGGTCTCCGGGCTCGCCTTCCGTCTCTTCACCCTTCTCCTTCCTCCCCTCCGTTACATTGTCGTTACGTGTATAATCGAACGATTATCTTTGCCTGAAACATGTCTAATATTGTACCGTCCACGCCTCCTCGCATGGCTTCACCACAGCCTACGCCTAGTAAAAAGGCTCGTCGCGTCGTTTTGGTTGATCACCGCGTTTCCAACATACCTCTTATATTCTCTTTCCTTTATCTCATTTAGGTCGCCGCCGCTCTCGAATCCTTCTCTCTCAATACTCCTAAGGCCTCCTCGAGCAACCTGATCGACGACGCGCGTGTTCCGAATTCTCCAGATACCGTCAAGGACGCCGACGAGCTGCAAACCGTAGCAGCTCCTGCGGAGGAGGACGGAGATGTCGAAGATTGGAGAAAGCGGTGGGTCGGGGAGGTTGATGTAGAGGAACGTGAGTAGATCCTTGCTGTCCTTGTTGCTCCGAGCGGCGTCTCATTTGGCGCTCAGACATGGAGCCTCTCCTCATCGAATCCAAACGCCGCTTCGTTCTCTTCCCCATTCAATATCATGAGGTACGTCTATCCCTTTGCGTATCTCCTTTCGATGCTTTTTTGACACGCCATGATGTGTGTCCAGATCTGGCAAATGTACAAAAAGGCCGAGGCCTCCTTCTGGACCGCCGAGGAGATGGACCTCTCAAAAGACCTTCACGATTGGAACAACCGCCTGAACGACAACGAGCGCCACTTCATCTCTCACGTCCTCGCTTTCTTTGCTGCCTCCGATGGTATCGTCAACGAGAACCTCGTCGAGCGTTTCTCCAACGAGGTCCAAGCCGCCGAGGCTCGCTGCTTCTACGGCTTCCAAATCATGATGGAGAACATTCATTCTGAGACCTATTCTCTTCTCATTGACACATATATCAAAGACCCTAAGGAGAGGGACTATTTGTTTGATGCCGTGGAGACGATTCCTTGTGTAAAGAGGAAGGCCGACTGGGCTTTGAAGTGGATCTCGGATAGGAGGTCGTGTTTCGCGGAGAGATTGGTTGCGTTCGCGGCTGTGGAGGGAATTTTCTTCTCTGGGTCGTTTGCTTCTATCTTCTGGTTGAAGAAGAGGGGTTTGATGCCTGGTCTTACGTTCTCGAACGAGTTGATCACGAGGGACGAGGGGATGCATACCGACTTTGCTTGCTTGCTGTTCAGCCATATGAAGAGGAGGCCCCATCCCGATACCGTCCGCCGGATCATCTCCGAGGCCGTCGAGATCGAGCAGGAGTTCTTGACCGGTACGTGCCTCACTTCCATATCTCGTACGACTTTTGTCGCTGACTGCGTTCATGTACAGACGCCCTCCCATGCGCCCTCATCGGGATGAACTCCAAACTCATGCGTCAATACATCGAGTTCGTCGCCGACCGTCTCCTGCTCGCTCTCGGCGGAGACAAGTACTACAACTCGACGAACCCTTTCGACTTCATGGACATGATCTCCCTCCAGGGCAAGACCAACTTCTTCGAAAAGAGGGTGTCGGACTACGCTAAGGCTGGTGTAGCGAGCTCGGCCGCGAATGCCGGCGGAGCGGCGGAGACCTCCAAGGGATTGTGAGTTTCTCTCTCCTTTTTATGCATCGCTTGTTGGTGTGGATGCTGACTGGGCCATATCTTCAAATTTCAGCTCTGTCGACGAGGACTTCTAGATTCCCGAGATCGTTGGCCTTTTGTCCTTACGTCGTTGCCTGCTCTCGCTCGCTCTTGTCCACTTGTCCCTCAATGTCGTTTTGTCTAGATCTACCACTCATCTATCGTATTCTGTAATTATGTATCACCACCACTTACTATCTTGATCATCCCAATGGCGCTTTGAAGTCGTTTCTTCGATCCAACTCTTACTGCCTATATGGCCACGTATACGTAGAACGAACATCTCAGAAAAGCAAAAAGCGCTTTCGCGAGCAGGGTACTGTACTTTTTCGCGCACAAGTTCACGCCACCGCCCCTCGGCCGTTGCCGAGATGACATAATCCGTTCGCGTCCCGGTTCGCAAGCAGACCGGGACAAGGGACAATGTTCGTGAACATCAACGCTTTTTCAGGAATACGACCTTTCATAACTGCTCAACAGCCATTCATCCTCTGCATTGGGGTGGAAGAGCTCACCCAGTAGTAAAATCTAGCCCAAAGTGTGCCGTGGGGGCCTTCCTGAGGTCAATTTAGGAGCCTAGAGTATATTCGCATTTTCGTTAAATTTTCGTCAAATTTTGGTTTGTCCCATTTATAAGTTCAGTGCACGTCAATGGGGTGGGACTGTCCCGCGGCACAAGTTCGTTCGCGGCTCCCATGGGACACGGGACACGAACTTGTGCGCGAAAAACTACAGTACATACCATTGGCGCATATCGGAAAATGCCGAAAAGCTCGTTCCACATGGCGCCTATGGTGCGGTTCACTTAGTCACCACCAAAAATATACAACTGCCAAATTGGTCGGTCCAAAATCGAAAATCTAATTTATTGAAAGAAAATTCCTGGGCCGGTCAAAAAAAACCCTGCCGTTTTCGAAAATTAATATTTAAATGAATAAAATATTATTCTTTGGCGGGGACTGCCAAATCCATG